TATATATATATATTACACACGTGTGTGTATATCCCAGGATGGAAGCTCTGCTAGATAACAGGCTGGGTTCACACCTAGGCGTATTGAATATGCGCCTAAAGGACAACACTGCTTAGAAGGGGATTGAGGCGGCAGTGTGGCTGTCACATAGATTTGCAAATATAGGCAGCTAGCATCTCTGTTTTTAATACAAGCGATGCATTTAGAAAACGTTCTCAGAGCCATTCATCTTTCAAACCTGCATGTACATTAGTTTGTGTGAATTGGGCAAAAACGATTATCATGAGTAGATTTTCTTTCCAGGTGGAATGTAATTCATTCATGAGAGTGAATCAGGAAAATACCACATTATAGCCACTAGATGGAGCCAGTTGTTATAGGAAATACTTATTATTGTATCTATGGGATAGCAGAGTTGTCACCCGAGGAGTGGAAGTGTGTTGAGATTACAGAACACATCCCCAGATTTGTGTGCGCATTAATAAAATGGTGTAAAGAAATCAGCAAGCCTTACCTGGATATAGAAAGTTGAAAGTGGCTTTAAAGCCATAGAAATTATTCTCAGCATCGCTCTTGAATACAACGACCATTATGTTCCCCGGGCTGTAGACTGGCTGAGTCACAGAAAATCCACATAAAGTTACTGTATGGAGAACAGACATTATTAGAAGAAATGGCCATAATTATTGGGCCTGTAGGGTTAAAGTTTAATCTGCTAATATTTGCCTTCACTGGTTACTCCCTCCCCCATCAATATGCCAACTCAATGTTAAATTAAAACATTCCGTTTTTACTACATAACTTATTTAAGACCCAGTGATGTCTGCGTCTCTGTACTTCTCTATGGAATGCAGGCAGATCATGGCTGGTGGGAGGGGCTGCCTCAGTACTCCTCTCAAAAGCCCTTAGCCATGATGTAAGCAATGGGCTAGCTTTTGGGAGGAGATATGCAAATATTAAAAGGCCTTGATGGGCAGGTGTCTGTCTGGAGTGGGCATTCCTAGGCATACTGCATTTGCATGCAGATCACCCTAGGTAACACCCACATGTAATGCTGAGCTTCCATGAGTGAAAGCACTGAAACCCAATGAATGAAAAGGGGCGGGCCAGGGACAGTCAGGCTGGGGCGAAAAGTGCTAGATTATGCTCGATGTCCTCCAGCCAGGAAATGAGGTTGGCTCTACCTGGCTTGCTGCAGCTTCTAATGTACATTATGAGAAGCTCGGTGTGCAGTGAAATCAGAGGAAGGTCATATTAATAGTTGCTTTTTAAAACAATGAACTGAGCTTGCTAGAACTAGCTCCTGGGGGAGTCTATTCCACATTGTCACAGCTCTATCTGTGAAGAATCCTTTCCTCCAGCTAAGGTTAAACTTCTTTTCCTCCAGACGCAAAGAGTGCCCCCTTGTCCTTTGCAGTGACCTTAAAGTGAGTAATTTGGCACCGAGCTCTTTATATGGAGATTTATATATTTATACATGGTGATCATGTCCCCGCTTAATCGCCTCTTCTCCAGAGAGAACAAATTCAGGTCGGTTAATCTTTCCTCATAGCTGAGCTCCTCCATGCCTCTTGTCAGTTCAGTCGCCCTTCGCTGCACTTTCTCCAGTTCCACAACATCTTTTGTGAACTGGTGCCCAAAACTGAACTGCATATTTCAGATGAGGTCTTACTAATGCTCTGTACAGGGGCAGGATGATGTCTCTCTCTGGAGTCTAGAGACCCCTCTTAATACAAGAAAGTATTTTGCTTGCTTTAGAAACTGCGGCCTGACATTGCATGCTATTATTGAGTCTATGGTCTACCAGAACACCCAGATCTTTCTCCATCATTGACTCCCCCAAACATACTCCCCCTAGAGTGTATGACGCATGCATGTTTATAGCCCCCAAGTGCAGAACTTTACATTGATCAACATTAAACCTCATTTGCCAAAAAGATGACCAATCACACAGTGCATTCAGATCTGCTTGTAAGTTGGAGACATCCTGTATGGACTCTATTCCAATACATAACTTGGTGTCATATAATGTACGCTAAGTGTTTCCAATGATTGGGTGGAGTGATGCTTTAACGGTCATGTGACCAACTAAAAAGTCCTACCGATTAAGTGTTTTTGGTCTCGGTCGCCGTACACTGAAACCCGATCATAGAGACATTCCTCCTGGAACTCCACAGCAAAATCTAGAAAAAGCAACTGAACAAAAAAAAAACATTGAAAAGCAAACAATGGAGGTCTGACCCCCGAAATACGTCCCTGGTGGTTACACCCGTCTATCCAACTCTCTGCAATTCCCAATATATACTTGGACAATTTGGCCTTTTGGTGCCTCAATGACCCAGCGACATGTAGTGCTACTGGGGTACAAGCCGGGGTAATTGCGGGTGTAGATTTTCTCTTCTTTCTTCAGCAGCGCCACACTACCGCAACCGGAGCCTGCGACAAAAACAAACCAGAAAGGATTGAATGTCACTGCAGAATAAAAATGGCTCAGCACTAATGTCACTGAATGCAGGATTGTGCAGGAGGTCCTGTCAGGAGCCCCCACACGCCGCCCGCTCCAAGGAGACTCCACGCACCGCCCACTGCAAGGAGACTCCACGCACCGCCCGCTCCAAGGAGACTCCACGCACCGCCCGCTGCAAGGAGACTCCACGCACCGCCCGCTCCAAGGAGACTCCACGCACCGCCCGCTCCAATGAGACGCCACACACCGGCCACTCTAAAGTAGATTATACATGGATAGATTTTTGCACGAATGTTCGTACGAAAAATACCACCGGAATGTTAGTATTGGTGCCAGAAAGTTGCCGATTGTCGTTCAAAATTCCGTTTAATTTTCTCTTTTATTTAGCATTCTAATTTGGAATAAATAGAGACATTCGCTTGAGAAAAATTTCCCAACATGCTTCGAAAATATTCGGAAGCATTGTCGTTTTTGTCTGTTGATTGCACCATAATAATTGGCCGATATTCAAATGAATGTTCCCAAAAATGTGAATAAAATCCTAACCGTGTACACCATACATAAGGAGCCTCCATTTACCATCCACTCTAAGGAGCCTCCAGTATCCGTCCTCTACAAGCAGCCTCCACTTACCATGCACTCGAAGGAGCCTCCAGTATCCGTCCACTCTAAGCCTCCATTTCTTATTACCATTCTGCTCCCAAAGCACCTAAAGTCCTGTGTATGTTTTGTGAAACAAATGTTCTGAAGTCCAACAAAAGTTCCTTGTTTCTGTTTATTGTTAAAATGCACAAACAGCCAACAGTGACATAATCATAAACTGATTGAGAGGCTTTTTAGCTGAAACAAGTTAGTGCTCCTGGCAATGTCAGCTGTTTGTGCCTTTTATTGCGCCTGTGTAAGCTCCGCCCCAAGCACTCAGGTCTGCCAATTGTTCACTCATCAAGACTGACATCTTCACTCACCTTGTACTGAAGAAGCTGGAAGGGCCAAGAATTTCAGCTCAAAGCCGCCGCCATTAATGGTGGCATCTGAAAAGAACGTGACTGTCACCTCCTTGGATTGGATAAGTATCGGAGATGGTAATGTGGTTCCGCACACTTTCCCTGAGGAGAGATATGAATTATGCGGGTGATATGTAGAACATGAGCTTAGTGAACCGATTAGGCTGCTTCTAACAAACAATCAGCTGCATATATACACTCTCTGACCTGCACCAGTAAAGAGATGGCAGCCAACGTCTCTGACCTGCACCAGTAAAGAGATGACAGTGGATGTCTCTGACCTGCACCAGCAAAAAGATGACAGCTGACCTCTCTGACCTGTACCAGTAAAGAGATGACAGCTGACCTCTCTGACCTGTACCAGTAAAGAGATGACAGCTGACCTCTCTGACCTGTACCAGTAAAGAGATGACTGCTGGCCTCTCTGACCTGTACCAGTAAAGAGATGACAGCTGGCCTCTCTGACCTGTACCAGTAATGAGATGACAGCTGACATTTCTGCCCTGTAGCAGTGAATGAGATGACAGCAGGGGTAATATTAGTTCCTGTTTCAAAGAAATTCGGATCCGAAATTCGTTAACGGAATTTCGTATTTCGGATATAATTCGGAAACTGCCATTCGGATTTCGGATGCTCCGAAATTCGGAATTTCAGGAAAATTCGTACGAATTTCGATTCGTAACGAATCGCACATGTCTACAGCTGACATCTTTGAAGCAGCTTCTGATGGCCCAAAGCAACCATAATCAAATTTCCCCAAAGGTCACCCCCATCCAAAACTCAGATATTGATTATGGGGTGAGTGTGCCTTGATAATCAATAGAACTGTGGAAACACTGCCAATTATTTCACATATCACAACCGCCAACCTTCACATGGTTATCTCATACTGGGACACATCTAAACCCAGGCCTAATCCATCTAATCCCAGTCCGGGTCACCTAGACATGTCAACATTACCAGACATTAAACTCTACTACCCAAGAATCTTCATCTAGAGAGCAACTGTATTATAATGCACATACTATGGATGATTCTGCACCAGTTCTTTGCAATATGATGCCAATCTATTTCAGAGTCTGCATTGCTTCCAACATCTGCCCATTGCCCCAACTACCAGGCTGGTCCCGCCCCTGCAGAGCTCACTTTCTCCTACAAACCCACCCACAAGGTTTGCTCTCGGTCTCGTTATAAAGGGATGATCCTGGAAAAATGACAGAAGTGCTTTTTTCCCCACACAGCTTCCTTTAAGGCCTGGTCACTTTTGGTGCTGCAAGGTCAATGTTCCCTTTAAACAAACAATTTGTTGTGGGTGTCAAAAATAGGCTCCTATAGCATAATGACAGATCAGGCTATTCTAAATACACACACACACACACACACACACACACACACACTTATTTATTTTTTATAAATTGGGGAGCAGATGGAGGCAAAATGGGGTAAATAGGTTGCAGTTCATATTGATGGAGGACAGTCATGACAGACGTCTCCCACCACCATCACCTCCTCTACATATAATCGACTCTCTGATATACTCACTGATCATCTTTTGTTTCACTGAAAAAGTTAAAGAGTCAAGGACGCAGGTCACGTGATCTTCAATATTCATCCGGATGAACTGGATCTGGATGATCTCTTGCTCAGGTACAGTGACTGTCCAGCGACATAGACTGAAATAAGAGTTAATGCAGATCTACATGCAAGCACACACATATGTAATATACTGCAGCTAGCCCGTTCTTCTATGAGGTGACTGCATTCGTTTACTTTCTTCCGGCATTTCTTCCCTTTTCATCTGCAGATCACTTGCTCTCTGTGCTGTGCCTATGGAGTATCGGTGTTGTCACACTAGGACAGTTGAGGGGAGTAGCCCCACTGTAAGGGTTAGGATTTGATTTGCCCAGAGTTCTTCCTGAAAGAACTCTAGTTAAGAATAATTTTTTTTTTTTTTTTAAATAGCTCATTAAAAGATAAAATTAAAACATAATCCGGATCCGACCCCTGCAGCATTTCCCTTCCATCACACAGTCTTCTGGGTTAGATGACGGCATGTTTCATTCAACCCACCTCCTCTGAGCCCAGGCTGGCATGGACTCTCCTCCAACCTGTGACTGGACAGTAAAGAAGAAGCAGCACAGTGATGAACTCTCTGTGTCACTCTGCAGTCTCCGCCTATCAGCATGCTGCTTGTCAGCACATTAACTGATTGGCTCCTTGTGCTGCTTCTCCTTTCTCCAGGTGGAGATCTGCTGTACCAGTGTACTTAATTTGGGTACTTAACATTGCTTGTAATTAAAAGAAAAACTCCAGGTAAAAATGTTTTAACCCTTGCAGTGGGGCTACCCTCGTACTGCAAGGGTTTAAGTGCTCGTTTTTGTCTAGGGTCAAAAATAACAAAGTCATACTCACCTGATCCTCGGAGTCGACCGGCTGTCACGGCGCTCCCTCCTGCCCGCCTCCTGTGCTCCAGCGATGGTATGTCCCTCGGCCTCACATCCTATACACTGAAAAAATGAGCACTTAACCCTTGCAGTGTCGGGTAGCCCCACTACATGGATAAAGATTTTTGTTTCCTGGAGTTCTGCTTTAAAGATGAATTACTGAATACTGAGCTGCTTTCTCTGAGTAGCAGTTTTTTCTAATCTGATAATGCCAGGCGTAGGCTGGCCATACACTATACGGGTTTTCTTATTTAGCCCTGCGGACCGAACGAGAAACGCTCTGGATTCCCCTATACATGCTAAACACCATGGATGGGGGAATTCCCCTCACTGGGCTATTGTATTCTGACAGCGGCCTATAGAGTCAAGGAAATTTGGAGGATACTCTGACCGAGGATTGGGCAAACTGCGGCCCTCCAGCTGTGCTACAACTACAAATCCCATGAGGCACTCCAAGCCTCCGACAGCCACAGGCATGACTCCCGGAGACTGATGCATGATGGAATTTGTAGTTTCACCACAGCTGGAGCGCTGGAGCTTGCCCACCCCTGCTCTGATCCATAGATGCTGATACAATAGATTGCATAGAAGTTTCCCGATGAAAATCTCCGAGTACACCCAGGAATTCCACTCTCACCTGTTGCTGGAATAATTGCTGGTGGCATCCAATGGATACTTGATGACCCCATTTGTGTCTACAATCATCTGCGGCTCGGAGCTACAACCACCTACAAGATAAATTGCTACAATTGGATCTTGCCGCATACGGACATTCATCTTACTTGAAGAGATACATACTGTACGTGTTCATAAATTATTGGGAAGACTTAGACCCCGTTCACACAGGGGCGGTTCACTTCTTTCTGACTTTGTGGAATGTGAGAGCGCAGTCACAAAGTCGGATAGAAGTGACATTTCAGGACCGATCAGCTGTTCCAGGGCAGATCGGTTCTCCTGCTCATACCATCTGCATAGCCGATCTGCCCTGGAACCGCTGAGAAAGCGTTGGAATTCTTCACCTTTTGCCGGTCACACATTCCACCGCTGAAAAACTGGGCATGATTACGTTAAAATGTGTGACCACGTGACTGGTCACACATTCTAACGCAGTCACAAACTTTGATAGAACACTGGTCACACGCCTAACTTTAGATTACAGGTAAAAACAAGATTTGAATTAAATGATAAATGTTCATCATACACAGAACTGAGCAAAAAGCAACATTTTATTCCATCTACTTTATCTGATCTGGATACAGGAAGCTGAAAATGGGATTGGTGGCTGGTCATAGTTTCTCTCTGAACTGCTGATGAGCCCTAAAATCTAAGGAATGACCCGGCGCGGAGGACAACTTCACTCACTGTCAGCTGTGGAGTTTCTCAGGAAATCCAGTACAGCGGAAATCCTCGCGAATATCGCCGGGGACCCCAGAGCCTCGCTGCTCGTCGCGGACTTGCCCCACACTCTTCCACAACCAACACCCCAGGAGGTAGTCCCGGCCAAGAACCAAGTCCCAGATCTCCTCTGGCACACCAAGGGACCGCCAGAGTCTCCCTGAATGATAGAAAAACATTACAAGAAAAAATATTTCATGGGGGGGACATAAAGAACTGGTATTTGCAATGACATGTCTGCCACAATAAATGTTAACAAAGCTTTCACTGAACTCAAAGAGTGAAGATTTGCTATGGAATGTTATGTCTACCTAAGAAGTACTATCGCCATAGCGACCCAGGTGACCGCTATGGGGCCCCGGGCACAGGGAGGCCTGGCCAGGATGAAAAACAAAGGGGTCCCCCTGATACCGTGCGGGCCGCCTGGGTCGCTATGGCATCGCAGGCTGCTGGTTGTCACTGGCAGCTGTGAGGAGGAACGCGCCGCTGTCCAGATCAGAAAATCCACCCTGATTTTTGAAGGGTTAAACACCTTTAAGCTTTTTTGTGGTCTGTGTCCCACAGGGGAATTTCATTTTACTTCCTCTCCTGGAGTGACAACAGGAAGGGAGTCTCTAAAGATATTGGAAAATGTCTCTAAAGATATTGGAAACAGGTGTCACCATCGGAAGATTTCCTCACCTTATTTGAGTAAGAACTGTAAACTTTTCTGTTTACCATCACTTTTTATCCTAGATAATGGTCACAAGCCATAACAAATTTGACAGGGTGAAGTTCCCCAGTTTGGTCTTTAGATAAACTAACTTCTACTTACGACATATGACTTGTGCACCCACCTGACAAGCATCTTTCCCCCCATCTGGGAAGCCTGCACATAACATGGAGTCACGTAAAGCCGGCAGCCCCATGGAGTCCAGTACTGAGCCGCAGATTTTGGTGTCTAGGATGGGAAGAGTCACCACCTGCAGGACATCGGACAACTCCACATCTGTGAACAGATAAAGGGGAGATGGTTACACAAACGGTCTAAGGGCTTGTTCACACCAAGTGTGGAGCAGATGCAGAGCAGTTACAGAACGCATCAAAAATGCATCCAATGTATTCCAATGGTATTTTGCTAGTTCACACCAGAGCGTTCAGTTCCAGAGCATGTGGAAAAACTGCAGCATGGCCTATTATACCAAAATGCATGCAAACACAGTGGAACGCACTGAAAGACCCTTTTAGGCAAAAAAAAAAAAGTGTTTTTTAAACGACCCGAAACGCTGCAAAAACGCAACAAAACACACTGCACTGCATGAGCAGAAACTCATGCAGATCTGGTCCGCATTTGGTGTGAACAAGCCCCAAGGGCAGGTTCACACTTTTCCAGACCCGATCTGGTCCAGAAAATGGTGTGAACCTACCAGCCGTTCCAGTGCATTCCAGACCGGACAAAATGAGACAAGCAGTATTTTTCTGGTCTGGAATGCACTTTTCGCTTGTGTGAACAGAGGCCAGAAATAACATAGGGATACATTAGGATGCATTTTGGGCCCGGAAACAATCTGGTGTGGTGATGATCAGGATGTGGTGTGAATGAGCCCTAAGGCTGGGTTCACACCACTTTCCGTACCAGATCTGGAACGCAGTGCATTGCGTTTTTGCCGCGTTTGGAAATGTGTTTTTTCATTTTTGCTTTTTTTTTAGCTTAAAATGGTCTTACAGGTGCGTTCGGTATGTTTCTGATGTGTTTCTATGCGTTCAAGTGCATTCCAGACCAGACAAAATGAGACATGCAGTATTTTTTCTGGTCTGGAACGGACTGCGCTGGTGTGGACAGGGGCCAGAAATAGCATAGGGATACATTGGGATGCATTTTGGGTCCGGAAACAGTATAGTCTGGAGATGATCTGGATGTGGTGTGAACGGGCCCTAAAGGAGAACTCCAGCCAAAGCGTTAAACGGAAGCAATGCTTCCCCTATTATTTTATTTTTAGATATGTGACTGTGATCACCCATTAGTAACAGGAGAAGAAAGAAGTCACTATCACACCAGTTTCCACCTCATTGATCCATCTTTAGTAATGATGGATAACTAGGGTATCACAATGAAACACAACATTTCGCAACCGCATGTGGTTCCTTCATCAGAAAAACAGTGTGATCACTGAAGAAACCACACGCGGTTCCAAAACATTGCGTTTAATTGCATATCCTCTCCCGTTATCACATCAGCATTGTAACAGGAATACATACTAGAAAAGTGTTTCATAATGCAATCAAAGCTTACTTGAAGAAATCCCTTTTATGTAGTGAGTGCTGCCTTCAGTCTGCCCATCTTAACAACTTCCTGAGTTCACAATGTGCTTTGTGTTTCTTTGAGCTATGTATATCCCATCATGCATTGTTTCCAGCATGAAATAATGTTACACTGCTTATGAAAATTCAGTATAGAAATACAGATTTAATTTTTAGTTTCTGGCCATAGGTACCCTTAAAAGGAGAACTATGAGGCAAGTGATTTCCACTCATCCTCATAGTTAGAGCCGACGTGAGAAATTGAAACTGTCACAGGTCGTCTCTATTGATCGGGAAGTAAGCGAACACATACAGTCGCTCACTCATTTCACCCTGCAAAGAGCCGTGACTGTCAGTCATCACACCCCGCAGGGATTCCCCTCTCTGATCCTCCAGCGCTGACTGGATGAACGGACGGAGAGGGGGCGGGCACAACTGGCTCTGGCTCTAGAGAGGCAGAGCCGGCTGCCAATTAGCCAGCTGGGTGGATCTCAACAGTATTGTTGGGATCCGTCCTGGCACTGGCGCTCTCAGTATATAGTGGACAATAGCTCACTATATACTGAGCTTTGGGTTATGGGAGGACGTTAGTACATGTTAGACATGTGCACTGCCAAAAAATTCGTTTAGTTTTGTTTCGTTTTAAATTCGGATTTGTGTTATTTCATTTTTTGGGATTCGGGTGTGAAAGTCAATTCGGATTCGGACGAAATTCGGTAGCGGTAGTTCGAACGTTCGTTTCGTTTTCTGTTCTTATTCGTTTCGTTCGTTCGTTTGCAGCAAAGTGACATTTGAGGGGGAAAAAAATATTTTTCTCCTTCTCTAATGTCACTTTGCTCCAACGAACGAAACGAATAAGAAACGAATAAGAACAGAAAACGAAACGAACGTTCGAACTACCGCTACCGAATTTCGGAAACGGAAATTCGGATTCGTTTGCATTCGTTATGTCTAATTCGGAATTCGGATACTTCCGAATGTCCGAATTTCCGAAAATTCGTCCGAATTTCGATTCGGAACGAAACGAAATCGCACATGTCTAGTACATGTCCTCCCGTGGCCCTAAAGAGAACTATAGTATAAAAAGGTTACCCCATAGTTCTCTTTTAAGTTAGTCAATAAAGAGTATCACTTAAATGTCAATGATGCAAACTTTGGTAACCCTTCTTCCCAAAAAAGCAGATTTGCACCTCTGTACACCAACCCCAAGGCATTATGAAAGCAGAATAACTACAATACACATACAAACTTACTTTCTCCGACTCTCCCCCATCCACTGGAGACACACAATGTCCCAATGTCAACCTTCTCCCCCAACTGTGGCAGACAGATCGGCTGCACCTCAGAACCTGCAAAGAGGAGAAAAAGTCAATGTTCTGTTGAAAAAAAAATATGTTTAGTAGATACAATGAGGGAGTTTAACAAACATGGGGAAGTTGACTATCCTACAAGTAGTTCTGTACTAGAATGAGAGGCAAAACACGAGTTGACCAACTACTACTAGCTAGGCCTGGGGTAGGCAACCTCGGCCCTCCAGGTGACACTGCAAGACTGATAACCACAGGCATGACACCCAGAGGCATGATAGGATATGTAGCTTCACCACAGCTGGAGTGCGGAGGTTGCCCACCCCCGAGGCCAATAAAAATCCTATTCGACTCACCCATGGTGATTGGCTGAGAGAGGTAAATCAATGCAACATCGTAGCTCATACTTCCATCCAGACGGTATTTTGGGTGGACCTTGATGCTTGAAACAGAGATATTTTGTTGTTCAGCATCGACAGCTGTCCGATCGTATTCTCCAGCAACAACAGTCAAGTGCCTCACCTGACTGGAAAAGATTCAAAAAGGGGGGGAAGTGGTTACTCCAGAGCAGATCAGATTATATTGCAGCTGGTGGGATTTTCTATCACCTCCTGCCCTCTAATGCCCATACACAAAATAGAAAGTGTGATCGTCACCAAGTCAGAAAGAGGTGCAAATAGCAATTAAACATTTCTCACACTTTCCCACACTGCTACAAGTGTGCCTTAGTCTTTGTGTCCCTTTTGGAAAAATATTCCATCACTTCCTGTCCTGACAGGAAGTAAATGGAAATCTCTCTAAGGAGATATGAATAAAAACCTGACTTTCCCCTTTGGCTGGAGTTGGGGTTTATTTGGGCAAAATCTTACAAGATTGGGTCACTCCAAAGTGATATTTCTAGATTGGGTGACGTTTGGTGGACTGTGGGGCCCACCGGCTTCTCATCTTTCATGAACACTCCAGTGTTAAGAACTTGCTACCATAACAGTCTGCTTTGGCTCTACCTACCTTGAAGAGTTGGGTGTTCCCACTCCTCCCGTTGTATAATATTAAATAATCAGTGCAGAGACCAAGGCCACCTTGTACTGACCATGGCAGGCCTTCAGACAGGGGAACTCAAAGAATTTGCCACCAGAGTCCCTGAGAGGCATGTTAAGCTCTACAGTATCTAAACGCTTGGTTCTGGGTTGAGAGACGCTACAATATATAGCTCCTTACATCAGTATATATGGCGCACCATTTAATAAGATCTGGACCTACCTGCTCAAAAAGTAAACGCAGTGTGCAGCCGTTACCACCTCAGTCGTCCCCACGATGCTTCCTCCACAGATGTGTCCACTACGATACTGCAAAGATACCTGGACAAAAGAGAACCATATTATCTACTGTGTCCTCTACAATCATCCAGAGCCTGAGAAAATGTCTGCCACACATCAGAAACTCTATACTGGAGGTGGTGAAGAACCTTGAGACATCATTTTTGGAGTTTTTTTTTTTTTTAAACAAACTTTATTCTGTTTTATCGGCCCTACCCCAAGGGGCTCTGCCTTTTTTTCCACAGCATAAAATTTACACAGTATGAGTCTACTTACAGTAACCCCAACAATTGTACCAGAAATATCAAACTTAAACATTCCAACATTCCCATTATTCCCAAGCTGGTTGCCACTCTTACGTTAGTTATTGTATGCTATTAGAACATGCCAGTTACTACTCTTTTTTTTTTTTTACACTACACTATTGTCTAGTCGTAGACTATCACTAAAGCCTCAGTTCGCGTCAGGGCACTTCCAGGACCCCCAAGCTCCCTGTCAGTTTTGCCTTGAGATACCAGTTTGAATACTTGAAGGGTTGCATTATTGTCGCTAATTCCATTGCATCATACGATGCTTCCAAGAAGTATTTCCACCGTATGAAAAACTTAGCAGTGAGTGCATAAACATGCATTTCAGTTTCAAGTTTCTCCCTCAGGAACAAGATCCTCAATTCCGTGATGATGCTGGAGATTGGCGGGGTGGAGGATTTATTCCATGCTCTCATTATGCATCTTCGAGCCGCCAATAGGCAAAGATGCATCCAATCCTTGCCCCTTTGGGTTGAACAGTGAGGGTCTACTGCGGAATACTCAGGAGCGCTGAACAGATACAGCAGAGGATTCTGTATCGGTGTCCACCGTAAGACTGTAGCTATGTATGTGGTAACACCTGTCCAGAACTGTCCCATTGACGGGCACGTCCATAGGCAATGAGCCAACGTGGGGCGGGAGAGACCACATTTAGGGCACACTGATACGAGTCGTTGCTCCCCTGCTCCCGCCGGAAGAAAGTATGCCACATAGGCCCGATGCATTATTTTAAACTGGGTCTCCCTCCAAGTTTCATTAGTGACCAGTTTGCATATTAAGTTATAACCCTCCACGATGTGCTCCACTAGATCCGGGGTGGGAAAGTCCTTAGCCCATTCTTTGATATTGGATGAAGATAAATTAGCAACGTAAGTTAGCTGTAACCCTGGGTATATGTCTGAGATGGAAGATCTCCCCCCTGATATGAGGGTGTCTAATTCCCGTATTATCTTATCTATAAGGGGAGGAAAATTCAAAGTATATATCGTTGAAGGCATTTTACCTACTTTGATTCCCAGGTAGGTGATGTCCCGGCGCGCCACTGCAAAAGCAAACTCATTGTCCCACATAGAGGAGGATAATCCTGCTAGGGGGCAGTATTTCACTTTTAGAGTAGTTGATGTGGAACCCAGAGAAGGTGCTAAAAGTGTCAAAAAGCTGTTGGATGAACCCCACGTCCTCCCTGGGGCGAGAGGTGAATAATAGTATGTCGTCCGCAAAGAGGGAAATTCGTAGCTCCTCTCCCCGTATCGTGTCCGTCTGTAAGACGTATCTGGCCAGTGGCTCCAACGCCAAGTTAAACAGTGGGGGGGATAGGGGGCACCCCTGTCGAGTTCCCTTACATAGATTAATAGGGTTGGAAAGGGCTCCCCGAGTCCATATCCTCGCTGTAGGAGAGGAGTACATCTTGCGTATCAGGGAAATCTGGTCATGACCAAAGAGTCACTATGGCGAACTCCTGGGCGGGAAATGTCTGCGCCTGTTCGAGGGCCATAATAACCCTCCTAAGGTTCTTTACCGCCGCTCTTCCCCTCACAAACCCTACTTGAGCTGGGTGTATAAGGCTGGGCAATACCTCTGCCAGTCTGCCTGCATGTATTTTTGAGAGGATCTTTGCATCCACGTTTATGAGCGAGATTGGTCGTTAAGAACCCGGATTGGTAGGATCCTTTCCCGGCTTTGATAGCAGTTTAATGTACGCCTCCCTCCCTGTGGGGAAGTAGGCGCCGTCCTCCCACATGTGTTGGTATAGGGCTTGTAGCGTACCTAGGGTTGCCACCTGTCCAGGATTCACCCGGACAGTCCGAGTTTTGAACGCTGTGTCCGGGTTTCATGGCAGCCGAAACCCGGACACAAGATGTCAGACAGACAGGGGCAGCCAGAATTAAGATAGGGGCTACTGGCCCCAGGGCCGGATTTACTCTCTCTGCTGCCCCAATGCCAGGTTCCTCAATGCGCCCCCCTGTATGCAGGCTGCATACAAGTGATCTCGGCGACATCGCCGAGATCATTTGTACAAAACATGTGGTGGCTTCCCCGCTGTACATTTAGCCCTGCCTGCCCATAGCAGAGCTAAATGTAGAAAACAACTACCCGCCTGGTGCCCGGAACTGCATGTCCCTGGCAGGCATCGGGAGATAGGAATTCCACACCCCTGCTGCCCCTCTACTCCCTGCTGCCCAGAGGCCGGGCCTCGGTTGGCCTTGTGGGAAATCCGGCCCTGACTGGCCCACCACTGAAAATAGTCTCAACTGTGATATTTACATATGAATGGGTGGTGCTTTTTACATATAAATAAGCAATTAATAATTCTCCCAAAAAAAATGTCGGCGTGCCGCTAGAGTGTTCGGGTTTCGCTTGAAGAAAAGGTGGCAACCTTAAGCGTACCCGTAATATCCCCTTTAAGTATCTTGAAAAAGGCGGCAGTGAACCCGTCCGGCCCTGGGGCTTTGCTTCCCACCAATGTCTGTATGACTGTCTCTATGTCCCCAGTCGTGATGTCTGAATTCAAGAGCTGGAGCTGGTCCTCAGTCACGGTGGGCAATTTAACCTCCCCCAGAAACTTCTTCTTCCTGATACGTCTGAATATTTGCAACATTTCCTATATACAAATTTTATTTTATTCATTTGACATGTTTTTGGGAATTGATCTATTTTAATGACTTGTGCCACCTTCACCATAGAACATCCATGCTTCCATCATTTCACCTACTGTCCAAGGCTGTCCGCCTTCCTCGGCATCCTCTCCCCCAATAATACGCGAGTTTTCTTGAAAAAAGTTTGCAGCCGTGCGCTTCATTGGCTGAACGCCGCATTTCATCTCTGAAGGTGAGACAGAAGAAATCAGAAATTGAAAGGATGGCACCAAACTAAGAAAGCAGACAACTGAACTCTAGATATAAAGTATTCTTCATGCTTACATTGGTCCATCTTGGCCCAAAATAAGTATACATATATTATACTTGATCTGCCCGCTGTGGATCCTGTATAGCACTGGAGTAGCTGGAGCTACTACAGTTCTGGCTGTCTTCTTCCAGGCCCTGCATGGGTCTAAGCTGAGTGGCTTCCCCTCTGTTCTGAAAGCACAAGGGGCACTCGCTCAGCACAGCGGCCTTTCAGAAAAACACCTATACAGTTTCAAGGAAGGCCAAATGTTTCATGTGTTGTTAGACACTGTGTGCTCCTAACTGACCACCAGCCAATTTGTCTGTGCCCCAAATAATCACAGATTAGGTGTAAAGTCTCAGTTTACTCCTGAAACAGATCGGTGCAATGCAAGCTTCAAAAAATTTAATAACTCATAACTCACATCTTATGCATAAAACTGTCTGTAAAAGTGTAATGGTGCAAAGCAGAGCTGTTTGACTCCACACATGCTAGTTTTATGATAACACATGGGGGAGGTAATGCTACTGGTTCTGGTAGGTGTATTGGAGTTTTAACTCTACACATAGCAGAACAACAGCTGAACATAGGCAAACTTCAGCTGTGGTGAAACTACAAATACCATGCACCTACCTCTAGGAAGCATGCCTGTGGTTATTTGGAGTCTTGCAGTGCCTCATGGGACTTGTAGTTCCACAACAGCTGGAGGGTTGAAGTTTACCTACCCCTGCTGTAAGATATAACAATGGAGATCGGAAATCAGCACAGGGTCATACTTCCGGTTCCTATTGGTGTGTGTGTTGTTATGGACCACGCTTTCTTTCCAACACCAGAAGTCATTTCTTCTGTTTATCCCTTTTTTTTCGGATACTGCTTGCTTGTACGTATGTATCACTTGGAGACAGAAAATCTGATTGCATGCAGATTAGTACCAGTGTGTGGAAGTTGACATAGGCAGGGTCAAATCTAATTGCCTGACAGGGATATGTGTGTGTTAGTGGGGAAACGTGGCAACATAGGACTCTTGTTTACAGGATAGCTCGAGGAATCTCAGGAGGCATGGGAAATCACTTAGGTAGCCACACAACCATTTGAGTGCACTAGATTCTGTGCAAGGTTTGCATTTCCCTGTGTGTGTCCATCCAGTTAGCTTTGGAGTCTCCGCCCTGTGGCAGCCGGTGGTATTGCATGAAACTATGAGCATGCATTTGTGTGCATTTGTATGCATGCATTTGTACAGTGCATTGGTGTCTGCCTTTCTTAATCGCGTTGCATTGATGTGCTAGTTTTTTGTTTTTTTTCCACAGCAGAAGCCAAAATAATTTAATTGACCTTAACACATGTTGTGTTGTGTTTAAATGATCCATTTTCACCTGCAGCACAACGGTGTGAACTAGGTCTACAATGGATTTCAGCTCGTCTTTGCATTGAGGAATGCAACCCAACAGACATGGTGTGAGCACCAAGTCAATTACAAAGTCAATGTCAAAGTATTACAGCCAGCGGCAGCACCGTGCCTCCAATGAGGCTGCTGCATTAGATGACACTCAGGGAATAAAACAACAAGCTCATCGTTACTGAGCTCCCTGCCCGGCCGCTGTGCCTGTCATACACATGGACACAGTCATCAAGACAACTCTGTGATCAGTGTACAGGCTCAGCATCCATGAGCAGAACTCTGTAGGAAACCACAACATGAACTTGGATTATCTATTTGCAGGCCTTAATTTTCCTGTAACTGGTCCTTTAATTGACCAATCTACCACACATGGAACCATATGACAGACAAATCACTCACCCCGGGTGTCATATGATGCAAACCGCCCCCGGGAAATCAGCACAGGGGCCCCACTGGATGGCGTCAGGCTGAAGATAGCTGTATGGGGGTAGAAATGAGTCACTTCTCTTGCTGGAAGTAGATATCATCTAATCAGTTACATTTACTAAAATGAAACAGTTGCCCATAGCAACCATCCTTGGTGCTGTGCCTTGTTTAAAAGATGGAACTGGGTTACCATGGACAACTGCTCTATGTCTACAGCAGAAAAAAATAAGAAATGTATAGAATTTTATCATTAGCTCACCTCCTGACAGGAGCAAGCCAGCAACCAAGAGACCAAGTGCCATAGCTCCATGGAATGAGGCTGAGCATTCATATTAAACAGGTGTGGGGAATAGATCAGGTGACGTAGAACTCAAGAACGCACATGGCTGCCTTAAAGTGGACTTATCATCCGATATATTTCTTCATGTGAAATGCATGCATGCTAAGCAATGTGCTGGTATAACAGTTCCAGGTATTTATTTCCTCTCACAGGCATCACAGTACTCCCCCTGACAATGCCTTCATGTGCCTCTCCCTCAAGTAGGATGGAGCCATCTTTGTTCAGGGATCAGCCAGGTTCACCATCTACTTCCTAGACTGAGATGACACAACTGTAACTCCTGGTGCTTGTGCAGTTCTTGGCGGTGTTCCGAAATATCTGACACGGATCAGCCGCTGCTGCAGCCTCTCACCTTGTGACTATTTGTTTTTTTCTGATTTAAGGGTGACCATCTAATCACTTCCAAATCACGTCTCAGAATACAATTTTTGCTTTATTTGACATATATATATCACATGACAGCCATCTCTTTAAAGGAAAACAACAGACATATGAAATTCTTAACACGAAAAAGAAGAAGCTACTGCATAGTTGAAAGAAGAAACTCTACGTAGTAAACTTTTGGAATAAATAAAAACAGAAGGTAATAATTAGGATTGCTGTAGCCAGTGACCTGCATTGCGTTATGACATTCCGTTATACATGTGCTATGACTGCTAATAGAAGCTGTAGCTCTACTATGACCATTTATAGATTTCTTTCAGGAAAAATATTTTCTTTGCACGTTTTAGACATTTTTAAATAGAGCGATATGCCGCTGTAAAAAAATAATTTGCGCAAAAATGTATAAAACTTTATATATTCCAATACATAAGTATAACATTTAATAATTTATGAGGGTAATAAGAAATCTGTAGGGTTGGCGCTGTGCTTTGTAAATAATTGGGATTTGTTATATCACCTTGAAGTGGACCTTGCATGATCACGTTCGGTGTATGTTGCAGCTACCCCCCTAAGTTCCCGACTGTAAAAACAAACCACTGGAAGAAAAATGTTTTTTTTTTTTAAACTTGCACCCGTTCACGAACCTCACCGAGGGATTCTGGGAACACCGGGGACCCCAAATCTCATAAGAAGGACCCCCGGAACAGTTGTATAGCATCTTCTTGCGATATTTGGGATCCTCTGCCTTTCAGGGATTCAACGATGAGGCCCAGCGGCATCACCCTCACCTAGGCAAACGCATGGAAAGTTGCGGTGTATAGTAAGTATTTTTTATTGCTTTGAGTGTTATTTATTGATGGAGTGGAGGCTGCAAAGTCTGCTTTAGGGCTGTAAATATATAAAGCAAAATGGGAGGCTCTTTTGAAACACTTCTAACAGCAAAACTGCAGGCAAGAAGTGCTTACTCTTTTTCTTTTGCATGCACAGCATTATGGGCATTTTTTTAATTTTAGGTCAACGTCACTTTAACATACTCTGAACTGCGTAGCTGGACTGAAGGGTTGATTTCCATATCTGCCTGGTTGCTGATATGAAAAGAAGCTTCCAACTAAGAATCTTCAGGGAGGGTTCATCTGTCTGACATACAGGCTTAGAGCAACTCACTTAAATTATAAAAACCAGACACACTGCATGCAGCAAAAGGAACACACAATGTCAGGGAATTGGACTGGTATCAATGCCTCAAGTAAAACACATAGGAAAAAACTTTGGGATTCCATGTTTGTTTTAAAGCTCTTGTGCAAGATCCATTTTCTTTCTTCATCCCAGAACTTTTACTGCCGATTTGGCATCAACTCCACACCAAAATCTTCCTTTGCTTTGTATTTACATATATACACATGTATAATTGTCATCTGCATACATCTTGATGCCTCTGACACTTTGGGTGGAATTTATAAAAACTGGAGCAGATGCCCATGGCAACCAATCGGCTTCTCTCTTTAGTTTGCTGAGTTAAGATTTGAAAATGAAAGAGAGAAGCTGATTGGTTGCCCTGGGCATCTGCTCCAGATTTTGTCTGCTCCACTTTTGATAAATACCCCTCATTATTATCTCTATGTTCCATCAACTTTACTAAGACTGGAAGTGTTACTGCAGCCCAAACTTTTTTAAGTGAAAGCGTTACGTTACAACCATTTTCTAGTTGTCCATGGCCCTGATTGGGAGATTCATCCTCAATTCCTGTATCGGTGACACCCCGTTATATCAGGACACATGATTTACCTGGGTGGTAAGGGTGAATCTCCCAGATAGCAATAAAAACTCAGTCTGTTTAAAGCTAAAAAAAAACTAGGCTGTGATTACAATTAAACTGTTTTGTTAAGGTATACAATCTTCACGGTCTTTGTACCTTCCTCATGTACTTGGCTAATGTAATGTTGCTATGAAAATATAGAAGGATAATATTTTTGCAGCAGGAAATATTTTAACTTCTGTGAGCAGTAATTAACTCAGGCTGTGCAGTTTATCTTGCCCTTAGGGCGACCATTTTAAGTTTTTGCCAAAAACACCTTCTCTTCCTGCCAAAGTGCCCATGCTGGGAGATTGTTAGTGCAGAGAGGTCATTGGAAAGGTTGGCTGTTAACTGTTACTTAGGCTCCCATCCAGCATAAAGGTGCTTAAGGGCAATCAAGAACATTTGGGGGAGGGAGGTATTCCTATGAATGCTCCACCACGGCACTGGCTGGTGCTCACTGGCCAATCCTGCTTGTTGAACAGAAGAATGCATGGGATGGAGTGTTTTTTTAGTTGATCACTAATGTTCTCCTTGTGATAGGTGGATACACAGTGTGCCTCCCCTTTCCCTACCATGACACAAATGTGGTATAGGACTGAAGGTTATAGTTTACCCAAGGTTTGGTGATGAAGAACTGAACTCGATTAACTTATAATAGTACATTAGGCAGCTGTCAGGAAGCCAGAACTAGTTCCCATGGCCAAGGTCCTGCGCGAGCACCTGCACATGCATAGTTTTGGTCATGGAATTGTCATCTCAGGCTCCCTCCAAAGTACATGACAGCTCCATGGCCTCATCACTAATGCTGACTGGCCATGTTTGTTCTGTGTCATTAAACAGGTTCTCTTGGAGGGTAAGAGAAGAATGTGTGAATGTTTTATGTATGGCAAGGATATATTATAGGAAGTTAATGGATTAAGCCAAAAGTTATCTTGAACCCTGTGATATGCACATCTGGTGTGTTATCAATACCTTGACAAGCTGTTCTAAGGAGTTATAATAAACTTGATAATAACTGCTGTATAATGTAGACAGATATTAATACCTCTCAGTAAATGTTTGTGTTCTCCAGTATGGAGTAGGGTGCATGTAAGACAAGAAGTAATGGCTGAATTCCCCAACACTAGCTGCCATCCAATGTCTGTAGATAGATGAAAGTAGTCACTCGCACTCCATGATATTAAAGTCAATGCTGTTTATTGACTGAGATAACACACATCTCCTTAGCGAGGCTAAGGAGATGTGTGTTATCTCAGTCAATAAACAGCATTGACTTTAATATCATGGAGTGCGAGTGACTACTTTCATCTATCTACATTTCACGGAGGCATCCGTTGTCACCACCGCACCCACCCAGTTGTATTTGGGTTTTTGTCCGGTCAGGAGTGCGATGGGACAGGGGGATTAAGATCCAATGTCAGTAGGCTGCTTAGAGTCTGCCACTGTCCTACTCCCGAAACCAGAGCACTCCTCTACAACTCTGTTCTGGGAGTTGGACAATATTTCATTGGATGGAAGCCTTGGCCACGACCGAAAACAGAGCCATTATGGCATGTTTAGTTCCTCTCTAACAGTACTTGTCAGCTGTATCTCCTACAGCAGAATTCTGAGGTGTAGAGGTATCTGCTCACCTATGACCTGGTTGGAATGGAAGATGCAGTCGTGGTGGGTCCATGCATTACTGCCATGTGGCTCTTATACAACAGCCCTCATTGTCCCCAAAACAACACAGGCACAGACTAGTCTGTATCTGTAAGATTTGGATAGCCGCTGGCAAAAAGTCCTATATGCCTGATTATGAGCCCTACCCTGTATAACCATTCAATGTTTATAACACAACCCAGTGGCATCCATTAAAGTAGGACATAAAAGGAAATGGGACAAGATGTCACTGTGAGTAAGTTCAACATCAAAGTGGATAAAAAGCTTTAGCTGTCATTCCGATAGCGCTAGTATAAACAAACAGGGATGCCATCTCTAGGTGGCCATATACAGACAGATGTCTTACCAAGATTTATGAGTGTTGTCAGAACCTCCTGCAAACTTCTACTCCACGCAGTATAAAAGCTTTGTTCCCTTTCTCTCCATTTAAAATGCAACAATCAACATTTGATCATACACAGATCTTGGAAATTATTTTCTTGCCCTAAAGATCGGAAGCCCTCAATGCCACAACTATACAGCTTAGAATTCAAAATGGCTGCCATGCTTGATCTAGACCTGTGGTAAGCTGTAGTGGGTTGCGTGTCAGTACATGGATAGGTGTAAAGATGCAAATGTTGACCTTTCCTGCCAAAGTTGGTGCATGGCCACAACTCCACCTGACTCATTTTTGTCCATCTTGGACATGTTGAAGGCAGGAAGGAGTGTGGCCAAGATAGACTTTTACAGAAAAGATTTAGATGTGCATGTAACGTCAGCCTTTATCTTGATGGTTTTTAATGCAGATAGACTCTGCTGAGGCAGTTTCGATATTCTTAATCTGAACTGCTTCTCTGGGCAGTGAAGAAACGGAAGGGCTGATAGAAAACGGTAATGTTTTCCCTCCATGCTGTCATCGTCTGTTCCTGTTGTGCTTTCTTTCTGTCTTCCATTTTTGTAGGATCACACTTGTCCTGTCCTATGCATCAGCTTTTTAATTCTTGACCATATTGCTCATCTACTCCTCTGAAGGAATCTCATATCTTTTTCCTATCAAACCTGTCCGGTTCTCCTTTGTTTTATCCTCTGTGGTCCTGTCCCGCTATATTCTTTTTCTTGAATGACGCTTTCAGACGTCCTGCCCTCCGCTTTGCTGAATGTCTTCTCTTCTCTCTCAGTGCTCTCTCTGATTACTTGTTGTCCACCAGAACCTTGTGTCTTTATTCTGTGGATTTTGCTTTCTAAGCGCTCCAGTTTTGCAAAATTCTCTTTAAGCAATTTGCTGTCAGGTTCCAAATCTGAGGCTTTCTCATAATAGGCTCGAGCGGCAATGTAGTCCCCCTGCAACAACCAAAGAGCAAGTGTAAAGACCAATTACAAATGGCCATTGAAGAACCTTTCATCCACTCCGGCTCCTGTGCATGTATAAACACTTATGGACTACATACATTTTTACATTTACCTTCTGTAGATTGTAAACTCTCATAAACAGGGTCTTTCTAATCCTTTTGCTGTAACTTAGCACGTGTCAATATAAGTGTGAAAGTGCTGGGAGGGGTAGATTGAAACAAAAAAACAGAAGTAATAAATAGAGGATAAAAAAAAAGTGTTAGGGGAAATCCTATGCTCTTCAGCGCCATCTAGTGGCCATAATGCAGCATAAAAGTCAGATGTTTGCAAATGCTTGCAGGGTGCTGTACATAGCTTCTTGAAAACATCACAGTATGCCTCAGTACTGCTCTTAGGAGCTCTCATTCTCATTCCTAATGGAAGAAGTTGGTTGGCCCTTGGGGAGAGTTATGCAAATATCAAAATGCTTTGATGGGTGGATGTCACTTTTTTAAGGAGTGGGTGTTCCTGAACAGACAGCATGTGCACACAGACCACTCTAGGTAACGTCCACACATGATACTGGGCCTCTATACATGAGAGAATTGAAATCCAATAAATGAAAAAGGTGGGTCAGGGATAAACAGGCTGGGAAGGAAAGCAAAATTCTGCATGCCCTCCGGCCAGGACATGAGGCGGCTCTACCTGACTTGCTGCAGATTCTAATGCACATTATGAGAAGCTCGCAGTGTGCAGTGAAATCAGAGGAAGCAAATTCGGTCCAGGAGAGGAGCCGGTACCACTGTGCAAGACTTAAAGGAAGGCCGGAGTCCAACTTTAAAATGCACATAAGCATAAACATATGCTGTAATCTGCATATGACAGTATGCGCTTGGGTTTGAAAGGACCATGTAAGGAAATAAATATTCAGACTGGTTGCATTATGCCTTGTTTCTGATATTACACCCCTTCTATTACCTGAATGTGTTTGATGCCTCCCATGTTCATCCAGGCCTGGGCCTGCTTGGGACTCAGGTCAGCTACAAGGCTGTAACTCTATAAAAAATAAGAAAAACAGAGGATTTTAGACTCAATAGCTTTTTGGATATAGTGAGAAAGGATTAGATCTCCTGTTGAGGTTCTACAGCTATCCAAAGTTGTGTTAGAGCAAATTACCCTTACTTCCTGTCCTGCTGACCATGGTTTCACCAGACAAGAAGTGAGGGAAAAGCAGCAACAGGGATACTTTGGGAAGCAATTGCTCTGGGCACCAGGTCCAAAAAACACAGGGCATGTAGTCCAGTTGAGGGACCTGCCACCAATGCCAAGTGGCCAACCCTCCTTCTTCTAGCCACCACCAGTTTCCTATCCGAGTCAGTTTCTGTATTCAATTTCCCAAGTATAGGCCATCCTGCGATCTAGGCTAAGTTTATAATCTGCTTGAACTCCTCTTTACTTAAAGGAGAACTATGGGGTCAGTGTTTTTCCCCATAGTTCTCCTTAGGGTAACGGGAGGACACAAACTAGCGTCCTCCCGTTACCCTAAGCTCAGTATACCGCGAGCTACAGCTCGCGGAATACTGAGACGCCACAGCCGGAGCGGATCCCGACTTAGATGACGGGATCCGCCCAGCTGCATGAGTGACAGCTGCCTCTGCCTATCTAGAGGCAGAGCCAGCTGTACCCGCCCCCTCCCCCGTCCGTTCCGCCAGTCAGCGCTGGCAGATCGGAGCGGGGTGAGGGGAATCCAGCCCCTCCCCCTGTCACGGCAGAGAGCCGTGACAGGATCAAGAGGAGAGCGAACCCGGTATGTGTTCGCTCACCTCCCGATCTACTGAGCCGACCTGTGACAGTCTCATTGTCACAGGTCGGCTAGAACTATGAGGTGAGTGAAAAGCACTCATCTCATAGTTCTCCTTTAAGGTACGGTTAAACATGACAGTCTGTTTTTAGCATGGTTTTTCATGACTGGTCCAATTATAGACTTATGCCCACAGAAGAGTATTCTCTCAATTGAGTTCTCCAGTTACTCTGATGGGACCTAACTGGGGAAGTTACAGCAGCTTCCCCTTTAAGGGGAACACCAAAAGAATGGAAAACTAAAGTTTTCTAGCTGTGGCCCTGTCTATCCCACAAGGGCTCACATGAAGATATTGTAGCACACTGTAGGCAGGCGTGCTATTACATTTAGTATTTTCAGATTGTAAGCAGTCTGATGCTGATTTGTAGTCTATGTTCATTTGGTTTTCCCTAATCAATCTAACATTGTTTGCATCTGTCTGCTGCTGGGTGTACCCTGGTTACAGAACAGAGCATCCAATGAGAGATTGCTATGAGTAGGTATCCTTTCCCAGCCAATCACTGTGAGTCTAATGTCCAGTGGTGCATGCTTGGAGAAAAAATAAATACTTGGGGTGCACCATGTGAGTTCTCTCTCTTCCTTACCTGGGCCCTGCCTGTGGGGATGCTGCTATGGACTGTCTGAGATGCCTAGGCCTAAAGCCTGTGGACTACTGTAGCCATGTGCTTACACTGAGGCCTGAGACTGGGGGCCCAGTGGTTACTACTGTTGACAAGGATAAATATGACTGGTGACTTCTACCTCAAGTGCTGCTGTGCCAGGTGTTCTTCCTGCTGTAAATGGAGACAGCTATTACACCCTGCCACTTAAAGGAGTCTACATCATCCTGAATGATCCTAGTCCTCAACCTCTCTCTGTCTGAAATTCATCAATAAAAGTTCTCAGCATCAAATCTACAGTCTGGCCATTGATTTTATCGATCACCATAGAGGGCAGTAAATGCTAATGGGCAAAGTGAAGGAAAATACTCCTAGATACGAAGATTACTGAGCTGCGGTAACCCATAGCAACCGACCCTAGGATCAAGGTATCTTATATCTCAAGGTGTACTTTTTATTGAGGTTCATCACATAGAGACCCATTGCTTTATTACTGTATGCTGCTCCGTAAGGGCTGCGAGACGAAGCCCTGTCCCCAAGCTAGTGTGAAGGAGGAGACAGGGAGGAGCCTCCCTGTCCCTCACTAACTACCTGTCAAAAGCCGTATGCAATTAATGTTAATTAAAGGCAGCGCTTCATCCATGACAGGTTACACAGCAGGGAGGATTTCCCTGCTCTGTAACCTATTACATGGCGATCTGAATGGAGAAGAAGCTGACAGCTTTTTCCTCCATAATTCTAGGTGAGGCTCTGCCTCACCTGCCTCCCCTGACCGCACGTCCCTGTGCTATATATACCCCAAACAAAAGTAGCCACCATCCAGAAGGACAGTGTCAGCACTAAATCAAAGACGATTTGAGGATCTACAGCTGAGCGGTACACAAATAAGATACTTTTTTGTTAATAGTTAGGGTAATTGAATACATTTTTTAGATTTTACTCCTAAATTTAGTGTCACTTTAATAATCCAGCATACGAAGACATTTTTAGCACTTTGGCTCTTTCAACGTAATGAGGGTGAAGGCCTTTTCCTGTTCCCTGTGCACAAAGCCAGCTCCATAAAGACATGGTTTGACCAGTTTGGTTCAGAGGCACTTGTGTGGCCTCAACCCAGCTGAACACCTTTGATGAACTGGAATGCTGATTGCAAGCCAGGTGTTCTTATCCAACATCATTACCTGACCTCACAAATGATCTTTTGGCTGAATGGGCACAAATTCCCACAGACACAATCCAAAATCTTATGGAGAGCCTTCCAAGAAGAGCTGAGGCTGCTACAGTCACAAAGCGTGGGTAACTCCATATTAATGCTCATACGTTTGAAATGAGATGCCAAACGAGCTCAACTAGGTGACATGGTCAGGTACTTACAAACATTTATCCATATAGCGTATCAACATACAACGCATACCTGAAAGGCTTTGTCCAGCTGGTTGAGCTCTCTCAGTTGGTTCCCTTTCGTGAAATAAAGATCAGATATTATTTTGGGGTCTTTTGGTTTCATCTGCAGAGCGACATCGATCATTTCTAGAGCCTGCATAAGAGGGATACACAAGATGTTAGCACATAGAAAGGAAAGGTGATTACATACCTGCTGTTTCTGGCAATGATCTTTTGTCTATAGGTGACAATGCCACCCAACAATTCTTTCAGCTGAACTACACTGACTGGCACAGATCCAAGTACGGTACTTGGTAAATATCTGTGCATCCTTACTAACCACTAAACCTTATGTCCAAATCATGTCGGTGCAGCTGAAGATCCCTCTGATGTGGATAGTCTTGGACTCTACTCCAACTATACAGCACTGGAATTCCACTTTGCATCTTACCCATGGCAGCTTATATGCCCACTGTATGGTGGGATGATGGGAATGGCTACGCCTTTTGGGTTCAGGGAATCCTGAGCTCAATAATAAATTGGGGTGTTGGGTTGAGGAACTGATTGGCTGTCTTGAATGACTTTCCTGATCCTTTGGAGCTATGAGTCACATGACAGAAAACTTGTGAAGAAAGTTCCGAGTACCTTGGTGTATTTCTCCTGCTTGCTGTAGATGGCGGACAGGAGACGGTAACATTCTATACAGTCAGGGGAATCTGCTGCTATGTGAAGAGCTAGAGTCTCTGCCTCATTCGACTGACTCACCACTGCCTGGATTTGTGCCTACAGGACAAAGAAGAAGAAAATGGATCCAGAACTAGAAAGAACATGTATTATATACACAATGGATCTTGAAAAAAATGTGCACAGCCTGCAAAATGAAAATGAACAATAGAAAAAAAATGAGTTATGTATAAAATAGACAAGAAATGGAGCAATATTCACTATAATGAATGTGTGGCCAGTATCTAGGGCATCAGGATATAATGTGGAATTTTTCTTAGTCTCGCCATCACACCTAGCAACAGTACTAAAGGCGAAGAAGGGGATAAAAGTAGCCGATGAATGGGGGTCTCAAGACTCTTTAGCTTAGGTAAGATTTGATAATGTCTTCCTTCACTGCAGACTTTTCACTGTGCCATCCAGTGCTTTAAAGCCTTCCCTTAAGTCCTGCAGAATTCTACAGACTTCTCCCCTGTACTAAAATTGCTTGCTCCAATTTCAGTGCACACTGTGAGCTTCTCACAATGTGCATTAGATGCCGCAGCAAGTCAGATAGAGCCAACCTAATTTCCTGGTTGGAGGATGCCCAGCATCTTCTTGCCCTTTCATTTCCAACCTCACTATCCCTGGCCCGCCCCTTTCATTCATTGGAGATTTCAGTTCTTTCAATCATGCAGACTCAGTGTCGCATGGAAGTGCAACCTGACTAGGAATGCCCGCTACTCCGGACTGGCATATTCCCATCCAGGCATTTTAGTATTTGCATAAATCCTCCTAAGAGTCAGCCCACTGCTTGCATCAGGGCTGAGGGCTCTTAAAAGCAGTACTGAGGCAGGATGCTGTCATGTTTTCAGGAAGCTAAGGACAGCCCCTGCTGGCCCCTCCCACCAGCTATGATCTGCCTGCACTGCATAGAGAAGCACAGAAATGCAGTAATGTCACCACTGGGTCTGAAATACGGTATGTAATGAAAATGGAAACGTTGTATTTCAAAATGTCATTAGAATGTTGATGAAAAACCTAAAATCTTCTTCAGGAACCTTCTTTTTTTTTTTAAAGTTGAGCTTTAATTACATTAACGCAAAAGTAGAAACAGGGAAGACAAAATATAAGCAGATTAAACTTCAGCTTTAAGAAATTTGCTTTATGAAATTTGCATACAACAGAGACGGAAAACCCTATAGGTTGAACTCGATGGTCTTGTGTCTTTTTTTAACCTGACTAACTATGTAACCCCCTTTGAATAATATGTAACATGTCTTCAGCGGGCCATGGATGCGAGATGTATAGGAAAGCACTCTATCGTTTGTGTGCCTACTTTCAATATGCTCAGGGACCCCTGCCAGACACCATCCTAAGCACTTACCAGTGACAGGCGTATCTGGACACTCTCTGGGTGAAGTTCCGCTGCCTCTTTATACAGACGTAAAGCCTCGTCATATTTCCCTGTGTTATAATACAGGGCTCCAAGAGGGGTGATGACATCGATGTCCCGAGATATCTGGTAAGCCCTAGTCAAGACACAGAAGGGGAAAGTCATAGAACCTTACACTTTAATATAAATAACATGACACAAGTGATCTCACTAGTCAGTGACATCAGGGGTGACTTAAAGACTTTTCAGGTGTAAAGATGGTCACATTACCCTACTTGTATTTTCAGTCAGATTTTCAGCCAATCAGGTGAATCTGCAGCAATCAGATGTTTAGTGATGTGACTGCGGAGGAGTAAAGGGTTTTTTTGATCCCCTTTCCAGTTTACTTTTTGAATGCAGTGAGCAGCTTCTCTCATACGCATTATCAGCGATCTCTAATTTGTGAGTGATTATGTCAACAGGCCGCTGTGATTTATACTCATAATATGAAGATCCGGAAACGCAAACGTGGCGCCAACCACTTGTCACTGCTGCACCCACCACTTTGGGATATTTACAGTCAGGAATGCAATGGGACTCACACATTAGACTCATAATATGGCGTATGGCTTTTTGAAAGTGCCATACCATTATGATGGTAGGACTTGGTAGAGTCCAAAAAATGACATCTACATCATTACACCGTAAACTTCCTGCTACGGCTGTGTGAATCTTAATCATAAGAACTCAGGCTCAGCTATTGCCCATTTTCTAATGCTCAGGAACCAGCACTCGCCCTGAGTGGGAGAGGGATTGGGACCCATGTTGCTGAACAGAGATAAAGAACTGGACAGGCATGGGTTCCAAGGAACCCCTCTACTATATCTGTAAAAAATAAGTCAAGGCAACTGGACTTACTGTATTTTTTTTTTATATAAAAGAGGCCATAGATATCTAATAGATATTTATATAGCACCACAGGCACACAAAAAAATACAGCAAGTCCAGTTGCCTTGACTTATTTTTTTACAGATATACCATGACCTGAATGAATGAGAGCCTTCACAGACAGACCCCTCTACTAGTTTACTGAATGTCTGTAATTTGTAGCAGAAATATGGCCTCTAAAATAATTGTGGGTTTGGATTTTCCGTATCAGGGTGGGCATGTACACCCTAAGGAGGGCAGGAAAAACCCAAATTTCACCAACTTAGTCATCAACAGATATTAGCAGCCAGCAAATAACTCAGCCCCGTAGAATCTACCTATATCCGTAATATTATTTTTGTATGGATATATATCCATGCCATAGTCTCTTCATTCCACAACAGCTAAGCTAGTGCAATGAGGCTGATTCACTAAATGAATTGAGAATCTTCACTCATTAAATTTAGTGATGATTCATTGCTGGTAACCAGCATGTGAAAAGCTTATTTTTATTTAATCTGCACATGATTGGGTATTAAAAGTGAACAAAGCTACAATTTATTATGTGAAGATGTTTAACTCCTTTAGTAAATAAGTAAAACAACCTCAATATGTCTAAGTTAAAGATCTCCCCATGCCCAAATGAAACCCAGGAAAAGCCTTACATCTTGTACCACTTCTCAGCCTCACTATTTTGGTTCAGTGAGCGGTAAAGGCGTCCGAGGTTCAGCATGGCCACGTGGTGATTTGGACGAAGCTGAAGTGCTAGGAGATAGTGAGACACAGCTTTCTGCGGAGCTCCTGGAACAGACATTAAGAGTACATGTAAACCCCAACTGAATGACATTAATTTGCTAAAGCACTGTGTATCATAAACGACTGACATATTTTTTTCAATAAAATGTATGTCTGATGCATTTCAGCGTTGCTGAGCATCTTTGCAGACACTTCCTGTCTACATGCACTATAGCAACGGCTGCATGGCATTTCTCAGGTGGGTATCCTGATATGATATTGACAATGGATCACGCCTGTGTATCGGCACCAACACTTGTGGTCTTCATTGGGATTGCATGTGAAAGGGTGACAACAGAGGAGGTTAGTTAGGACAGGGACAGAACATTGTCACCCAATAACAGAGACAAGGACCTTCATGGCAGGATCACCAGGGATTATTTTAATAAAAGCTGCAGATTTTAAAATATGAAAAATTACTTTTAAAATTGCAGTAACAAGTTCAAGATTGGATAAGATTTGTGATTGAGTGTACGTCTGGTTTAAATCACACCTTTAAAGCTCTATCAAGGCTGAGACAGCCAAAATATACAGTACGGGCCCACAGCAATGGAGACATTTTTGTCATTGTTCATATAGCAGCATAATATTCTTCAGTGCTGGGAAAATAATACAAATTCTTTTTTATAAATAAAAAATATTAAGATTATTATTATAATGTAACAAAAGATACAAAAACAGACCGTGTACACAAGAGCTTACAATCAAAAAGAAAAGAGGGAAACTTTTTTTTCGTAAAGTGCTTATTTTTACAAAGATCCAGCCAAGACTGAGTAGAAAACAAAATAATTTTATATTAATGCCGCATGAAGAGTCCTGCAGCTAGAGAGACTGTTAATGAAGTGCAGATGGACTGGAGGTTAGTGATAACGTTGGCTGGGGGGAGTGTAATGACCCTGTATAACAAGTTGTAATGAAAAGCAGAAATTCTAAAGACAACTTCAGTAGGAATACCTAAAGTAGAACTGAAGTCTGCAGATGATGCCAGTGCCATTCTCTGCATTATTACACTGAGAGTACAGGGTAACATGGGGACTCTCCCTCGGGGGCAGGCCCATGACACCCTGTACTCACTGGCAGCAGGCTGAAGGATGCTGGGTGTCAAAGGATGCTGGGTGTCATTCAACCTAGAAGACCACGGACATCTAGTGGTGGAAAGGAGCTACTATGGGGTCAACACCGGAAAAAAGATCAGTATTGCATGAAAGCTGCTTTTTTTTAAAACTAAAATCTTCTTCAGGAACCTTGTTTTTTTTTTTAAGTTGAGCTTTAGTTACATTAACGCAAAAGGTTACTCACCAAAGTCCACCAGGAACACTCCATAATTGTTCTGCAAGTCCGAGCTGTCTGGACAATTCTTGATTCCTGTCACATAGACTTCTTCTGCTTCTTGCTGACGTTTCTGGAGAGATTAGGGCACAAGGGAAAGATTGAGGACACAGGAGACTTGCGTAACAAAAAAAGCTAATGCATTGAGACCCAATAGTAACACATTCTTAGCTGTAGTCTCAGGATGATTTAATTCTCTCTGAAGTCCCAAAGCAAATAGAGACATCTGGATTGAGTTTCATTTGTCGCTACATAATATAAAGAGACTTATGACATCTGTAAACTTTCTGTAAACTTCCTGTGGTTCTAATAATAATCTATTAGATATCTATGGCCTCTTTTATTCTATGGTATTTCCTAACTAACCAGGCGGCCTTGTGGCACTGGGAGCTTGGGTACAATTCCCACCAAGTATATTGCATAAAACTTTCCCTGTGCATCTTCTCCCACAATACTAAAACTTGTAGATTAACTGGCTTCCATCCACAATTGGTGAATGTGTGTACTCATATGACTTAACATGTGAGACAAGGACTGCATATTTGTTTACTAGGGGGTTGTGGGAAGTTTTTCTTCTGAAGGCTCCTCAGTCAAATAGGAAATTACAAGTGGAGATGCAGGGATCTCAAGTCTCCCTGATGTTCAGGGAGTCTCCCTCTATTAGATAGCGGCTCCCTGATGTCCGCGAGAGAGGCATTTTCTCCCTGAAAGGTTTACTCTGAGTAAACCTTTCCGGTAAGATATCAGTGGGTAAGGTCAGAGTGAGGCTTGCCTCCTGGAGGAAGGCCATGTGATCTCTAGAGTAGCCTCAGAACGAGGCTTGGCTCTCAGAAGGAAGAAAGCTACTTTCTGCACAGAGAGGGCGGACATAGACTACTATTGAGAGTAGGGCTGCAACAACTAATCGACATAATCGATTATAATCGATTATTGAAAAAGTTGGCAACTTTTTCAATAATCGATTAATCGGCTTCCGATCAGTTGGCCCTGTTCACAGCTCCACACACGCTGTGCACCTCCTCCCCAACTCACGCTCACCGCTGCCAGACCCGCCCGCCCGCTTTCACGCTCTACACGCCGCACCTCCTTCCCGCCTTACACTCACCACCCGCCCACATCCACGATCGGCACAGTGACGCGGGGAGATGTAAGAGGAGGAGGTGTGGGGGGATGACAGCAGGGAGTGTAACCAATAACCTGACCTAGCCCATTGTTCTCCATACACCTCATTTAGATCTGGCAAACACTGTAGCCATCTCTGTTCCTTACAGATCTCCTCTTCTAGGAGCAGCAAACCTGCCCTCACATCAATAAAATCCAACACATATGCAAACATTCACTATAAGGACAATTCCCAGGGTGCCCTCTATAAATCCATGGCAGAGTGACATTTTAATTCAGGTGTCTGGGAGCCCATGATGTGTACTTCTTGCGGGATCACTGAATGACAGTAGACTGATTAATTACATCAATAAAGATGATGAGAAGCTGAGATACAAAGGTGTGTACATATTAGTCAGGATTAGAGTCTAAATAATAAATGCCTGACCAACATGAAGATCAGAAAGGTTAGAGTCTACATTTTTATTTGGGGTCCATGACTGAAAGTACTGAAGCAAGAGGGCTAGCATGACAACTAGGCAACTAGCATTTTCTTCAGTGGGAGACCTCATCAATGGCAGTCTTGTCTCTCGTGATAGACTAAGGGCCTGTGCCAATGGGCTTTTGTTGCCTTAAACAGGTACTGCATTTCCATACAAGTCTTTGAGAATGCAAAACCCGCTGAAAACAGTCAAATGAAGGTCAAGTGCAGGTCCAATACACCTGTCAATGAATTCTGAATGATCTAAGAAGTGTCTCAAAGTGATGCCATTAACAAACTGATGCCATCGACACAGGCCCCTCCTTTAAAAACTATAGGGATAAAGATGGAGAATTAGGAAGAGAGTCTCACCTGATCAGCCATCAGTGACCCCAGGCTGGAGTAGGTATCTGCAAAATAAGGACCATAGAGGAGGGATTCCTTCAGGCGGAGCTCTGCCTCCTCGTTCCGTCCCTGCGTCCTAAAGCAGAGAAACAGTCACATAACTGACACCTTTACCTTTTCACGACCACCTGATACACTGATCATGGTAAAGTGATGCAAAATGATAGTGCAGATGAGCCACTGGCATCTATCAGAGCTATGTAACTATATACAGAGAAACTGTTGGTCAGTGTGGATCTTCAGTTATGGCAACCAGAGGGGCAATTGAGGCAACTACTCTCTTGTCTTTCTTTTGCCAGCCTTCCCCCTCAGACAGTGAATTATGTTGAAGTCCTGTCTGCTCTGAGCTAATGAAAGGTTACAGTATATATGATTGGCTGGTGTAGGCTACTGAATTTGATCATCCTTGGGGCAGTCTGGTACAACCCAATGATGGGCAGACTTTTTCTCACCGAAGCAGGTTGCCGAGATTGAACAGTGCCCGGCTGTGTTGCGGGCTGATTGCCAGGGCCTTGCGGTAATATTCCTCGGCTGCAGTGGAATTGGTGGTCAATGTTCCAAGGTTGTTGAGGGCGCTGGAGTGTTGTGGATATAACCTGGGAATATGGAAACAAGCAAGAGTATTTAAAGTGGACCTTATGATGCATGAATATGAAAATATAATGTGAGTTAATATTAAAGATCTGAAGAGTTTACACTCTGCTATAAAATGGTACATCCCTATCATCTGATCACGTGACAAATATCAAGAGGTGACTAATATCATGTGGTCTCTGCAAGAGGATCTACAAGCACCTAATCCTTATAAAACATCTCAACAGGCACTTACACAGGCAAATGTTTATGCACATGCATAGACTGATAGACACTGAAGTATAGGTACACCTGGGTAAGTTCTCAGGTAAGATGTTGGTGGTATGAAAAGCCATGCCCCCCTTGTGGCAAATGATGAAGTAGAAATAGGTGGGATTTGGATTCAAGAGAAGCCGATTTTATAAATGGGTGGGGCTTAGTGGGATTTTTTTTCCTTTATTTTCACCTGGCAGTCTTGCAAGTAGAACAACCTAGGGTGACAACATTCGCTCATCTATAAAAGAACAGTGTATGCTGCCCACCCACTGCACATGCCACCTCTCCTCCTCTCCATAACATATAGAGGAGGGATGCTCCAGAGTTCACAGAATATAGCTGTGAAAACATTGTTTAAGATTTCAGACTTCTTTTTTTTTTTTTCTCATGGGGATCCTGTGAATAGCACACTACCCCGCCCTACGTGGCTATGCTAATTTCTCCATTGTATAGATGGGGGCAGCCATGGTTGCCACCAATGCTGTACTTCAAACATGTCTGCCCTTGTTCATTTCCATTGCATGATGGATTGTAGTTTACACAATAAAGGCTCTTTGTGCTTTTTTTTTTTTCCAGCTGGCCGAAAATAACAAGGACACTGCATTTCGATCAAGAATAATGGGAATTTTCTGTACTTGCTGAACATGTTCTTAGCTTGAGAAAATACTAATGCAGCCACCACATCTAAGGACTCGTAAGCTGCAATATATAATTTGTTCTTGGGTTTAGATATACCTTGGTTTATATAAAGCTTGTAAAAAGTGTAAAAAATAACTAATCTAATAAATCAGAATACATCATTTGTAATGTATTTAATTACATTATTGTGTATAATCCTCTAAACTGAGGCTTTCTATTGTTGATCAGTGTTATTTCTTAGCTAGCTGAATGAATTCTCAGTGGTTCTATGTACAGTAGAGCAAATTACTGGAAAGTTTTATCGGTTGTGGTTTAGCCAAACACTTTAAAAATCCCCAAACCTACAAAATTTGAAATTTCCAACTGGAAATCCCATTCAGGTTAATGGAAATCTGAACCAACTGTGTATTACAGAGCCACAAATGCTTCAAAATTGTACAGAACAGTTCGGCCAGGTCCTGGTAGCCTTACTTGATAAGAAAATGGGTCTGAAAAACAGTCTTAGTTAGAAACCTTATTTAAAAATCCTATAAGGGATGCTGAGATAGAAGGGTGGGACACGGTGGCACTGGCAGTCAAGCGCAGAGTTCTCAGACACTAACAGAAGCAGATATAAAGGCAGAAACAGCCTTTGAAGCAACCTTTGGACCCCATTTCACTAGGGATGCACAGATACTTTTCGAGTACCAGTGCAGATACTGTCAGACGTCCCAGGGAGCTAGTAGTGAGATGAGGAACCCACTGGCAGTAAGCAGCTGACAGTCCAGAAACGCGGTACAAGTTTAGGGATAATCCAAGAGGGGTAGTCAATGTCCAATCCGGGCCGATGCAGGCAGCGAAGGTTCAAAGGCGGAAGACAGTCCAAGGGTCAGTAATCGGGAAGGATACAAAGGGGCAACAGGCAATAGGAGGATCAGCAGGGAGGCTAGGTGTTCACCATAAGGTGGAATAACTCAGCAATAAGCCAGAGTTCAGGCCAGGTTTTTATAGCCAGGGGAGGTAGGACCACCCCCTGGTCACCAAGGCAACCAGGAGGCCTCCCTCCCCGGGAACCAATGGCAGGCGAGGAAGATGGAAGGTGTGTACTGGGAACCTCCCCCAGCAAGGCTCACACCTGATAGCTAGATGATGCAGGAACACTATGCTCCCGGGGATGCGCGCGCAGCCTGCATACTGCGCACACGCCGCGTGACTCGCGCACCCACACCTCGGGCACCAGGTGTTCTACCAAGCTGAAGGGGAACCCGTGCCCTGCGCCGTGCCCGTGGTCCCCGAGTAGGGGTAACACCCCCTGCTCCCTGACAGATACTTAGCATTTTTCACGAGAACTACCAGGGTTGCAGCGGTTGCAGCTGGGATCTGGCTCTGGCACTCCACCACTGTCCTGAAATCATCAGTCTGTATTGTTTTAGAAAAACTGCCACATGAAAATAAACAAAAATGTATCAGTACTTGTACTTGTAAGTACTCGGCAAGTACCAGTACTCGTACTCGCAAAACTGGTATCTGTGCATCCCTTTATTTATATTTATAAAAACAAAATCATACAATAAAACAGAGATGTACAAATCCCAGGAGCTCCGTGTGCTCCTTACAAATGACAGCTGCCTCCTAACTTTTGAATTTTTCTGTAGTCTAGTCTTGGAGCTCGAAAGTATCGGTACATGTACTCGTACAGAGTACTGTACTTGGTATCTGTGCAACCCTACTTTTCACAGAACCCTTTTGCAAATCCGAACTGCCATAAATATGACTAAAATTCCGATTTGGCTTGGCACATCCAAATTCATGAAATCGGGTCCAAATCTAACATAGGAATTTTGTGACCAACTTCTAGTTGGCAATAATTATTCAATATCGGGTCAAGACTGGAGTTACCTCAGGACAGTCCTGTAGTGGTCTATGGCCTCCTGTTTTCGGTTCTGGTCCTTAAAGAAGTTGGCGTAGTTATAGTGCACTTTGGCATTGTGTGGAAGGGTCTGCACACCGGACCTGGGGCAAGAAAAGCTGTGAGCAATGGGAACAGACTGAGATCAGTAAACCCAGATTAGTCAGTCTGGTACATACCTGAACAGGGACTCCCGTGAACGCCAGCACTCGCTCTGTGACACAGATTTCCAGGAGAAAAGAAGCAGCAGAAGAAAGAAGCTGAGGATGAGAACAGAAGATCGGCGTGGGCCGCTTCGTGTGTGAAGGACCTTCATTCCGTAGACACATAGGATGCAGAAACCCATACTGCGAATAACAAAACAATCAGGTTTACCTAAAGGGGTTTCATAGTGTTCCTGTACATGCCTTTCTGAACCTCTAACATTTGAACTTCACCATAATCCTTTATAGGGTATCTATGGTCAAAAACTAACAATAAATCTGTATTTCTAAATTGAATTTCCAAAAATTCCATCCCACTCCTAATAACCATATCTATCTAGAAGCGTGTAAATTTACTTATTGAAGATGCCCATAGGACGGACTTCCTCAATGCACTGACACAATTTCACTCTGCCCTGTTAATATACACTTCCTTCCTTCACAAAGCAAGGAGCCTGCCCTCTGAACTACAACTCAACACCTGAACAATGTAACATTATCATTGCTTGCTGGAAGAAATGCACGATGGGCTATTTAGTCTTGAGAAATTGAAATTGCATCACATCAAGCAGAAGGGAAAGAGACGCAAAGCACACTGGAAATCCAGGTAGTTGATGAAAGTGATGGGCAGACGGTAGGGAGCACTCACTACATAAAAGGGATTTTTCATGTAAGCTTTGATTGTATTATCAGACACCACTCTAGTATGTATTCCTATTACAATGCTGATGTTATAACAGGAGAGGATATGCTGTAAACCCTAAATCATGCGTCATGTCTGAATGTATACAGTTTTCTTAAGCAAACTGTTTTTTGGTGAATATGTTGCAAACTTTCTTTTCTGGAGACCCTGTTGCAGGCCTGACAACACTAAGCCCCCGTCTCGTAATTAGCAACAGCGTTTAGTTGTTTGATAGACAGCAGGTCTATATCGTAATATATTACCAAAAAGATCAAACAAAATTTCCACTAACAGAAACCCGAATTTGGTAGTAGAGGTTTGCAGAAAAATGTGTGCTCCATTATACAACTAATCTTGAAAATGTCTGCTTCCGTTACGTAGATAATACTGACGATCAGTGTGCAATCACAGAGAGCATAGAGCCAGAGACTCAGGCCCTGGGATATACACTGATAGCTTTGGTCCCTTTGGAAAATTAATGATGCTTTGCTCGGTGTTGTGTTTCTGTAACTGTATCCAGAGCAAGGCCCCTGGATTACACACATCATAACATCCTGGCTGGCGATAATCCCACAATGCATTGGCAAAGCCATCCTCCACTCCGCCAAGACAGAACACAGCCCAGATCCTCTTCTGAAAGACTTCCAGAGACATTGAATCCGACCTCTAAAAGAACTGTTTGCTTTGGCCCCAGCTCAGACAGATAAACATGTGTTTAATTGTAGCAACTGGAATATAATGAGAGCTATGTGAAGACATTAGTCTTACCGTGTTGGTTTGTGTTTGCTAAAGTGAACCTGTCACAAACTTGGGCAAACCAAACTGAGCATACACACAAGCAGAGGTGACTTCCAGGGCCAACCACACTTTAAAATAATAAGTAGATCTGAAGATATAATTACATACAAATTTCAATGTTTCCAATTCAATTTAGGTTTACCCTCAGTCCCAATGGCTGTAGAATTCTCCCCATTGGTCAATGAGTCTGTCCATCTCATCAAAGAATCAAATGGAAGGCTCTTAAAGTAAGAGGGGTGGAGCCAAGCTTTGAGTATTGATTATGTACAGGTATACCTGTATCTCTTCCCCTTTATTTAGCTTTACTTGTCTGACCTCACTCAATATCTCCCAATTAGGAAGCTCTGTTATTTGACACTGCTATGTACTCTCAGGAGCTGGGAGACAGGGTACTTGATCAATTAACAGGGTAAAATTTTTCAGCCTTCAGGTGACCTCCTACCCTCCCGAAACTGTCATCTTAGATAAGTATATAAAACTCCCTTTAGCTTACATGAAAAATCCTGGATGTACCTGGGCATGTAGAGAACTCGCTCCGCCACCACGAAGCCCACTCTGAAGAAGACATTGCTGGCTGGTATGAAGGGGAACACCAGGAAGAGAAGACCCACCAAAACCTCCCGATGTCCAGTCCTCTGCAAAACAGGTAGAATGTTAGTCAAAGTAACAGATTTTACAACTACTAAAAGGTACAGTCCACCCAAAACTGATATATGGGTTTCTTCTATCACTTGGGGACTCTATTAGTGAGATCTCTGTGCTGACTTCTCACATCTGCTGGTCCAACTATGAAGGGTTTCCAGTTCCCACCATCCCTGCTGGACTGTAATTTATTTTATATTATAGAGAATGTAACAACAGGAGCTGGAACACACAAAAGTGCACTGGAACACCCAAAATTTCCAGGTGTGCAGGAGTAGAGTTGGGAATTATGACAGGGAGGTCTCACTGTTGGAGTATTCAAGATGTGTAACAAACCAGGGAGTGACCTTATGGTTCTATCAATAACTTCAACATCACTTTAAGTTTGACTGATCCTTTAAAAATGATGCACATACAAAGAAGAACTGAAAACTGCAAGACTTGCTCAACAACGTCGATGGCCATGTAAACAGCTCAACAAACGATTCGATTTTGGTGTACTGTAGTCAGATCCCTAATAAATTATTCTGAAATGGCTGGATTATTATCCCCGCCCCATTCTGTCCCTTTTCACATGCATACATTCATTGTATGTAAGTAAGGGGCTCTTGGGATATGTAGTTCTGAGGATGAGCTTACGCTAGAAGGAACTGACCTCCCAGCAGCTGCCCTTCAAGATTTTAGAAGCCTCTTGATGACATTTCAAGGAGTAATGAAATTGTTTTACTTTTTTCTTTACAGGAACAAGGTGAAAGAGTATGAAATTATGGGACATACTCTAAGAAGAAGATGGAGGTCTGGAGGTAAATATGGGTAATTTCTGTACATACTCAATGTCATAAGTCCTGAGAGTTTTCATTAATGCTGCAGCAGAGAACTAGAAACGCACACTTGTGCACATTCCTAGTTCTCAGACGGTCAAACTGACTTTTTTTTTTTAAATGACAGCAGGATTCTGGTTGAGGGAACATTACCGTTTTATCCACCCTGTTCAGTTCATATCTAAAAATGACAGTGAGAAAAATACATTTGATACATAAGTTTGCAAAATCAATAGATTTCTATTGAAACTAAATGGCAGAGCGAGTTCTGTGACATGCTAACACACCCTTTGCATGTGCATTCTTTATATATAGCCAGATCCTTATCACACAGGTGACCCAAGTTCACGGCGACACTGATAGCTGAACACTGACAGTAGCACACAAAGCAGCAAAATAAACTCCTCTGTTCTGGCAAGAGAAAGTTTCCAGGAGATTGTTAGAGAGAAATTATAAAACAAACTTCCTGCTGAGATGATAACAATAAAATATGGAGGAGGTGACGGCAAGGAAAGTGAGTAAGGAAATATCCCCTACTTATTGTAACAAATCACCATAAATCAGGCTGTCACCCAATTCCTGAGGGCGTGGTGCCCTTCTTTTTTCTAAATCATGAGAAGTTATGAGTTTTTAATGGGAACATGTATCTTCAGCGAGCACAGTTTCTGAGTGAATATTGTCATGTTTGCTTGACAGTAAGAGGATACTATTTCCCTTTAAAAAAATATTTATAATCATTTTAAGGAGTCAACCAGTGACTTTTTATATGTCTTGGATTCTCCAACAGCGAGATCTCCCTGCCAAAATTCCCGACTGCCCACAAGGGAGATTTGGGTGTTCCCGCCCACCTTTGTTTGTTCCAGCTCATCTTCCTGTTTCATCTTTAATAATATAAATTATATTTAAAAAATCCACCAGGAATACTGGGAACCCCTCATAATGCTCACAACGTATGTGCAGCCTGGGAACATAGTGCGGGGATCATGGGAACCCCTCATAATGACCATAGCAGTCCCAGGAACTCAGCACAGGGATGGTGGGAGCCCCTCATAATGAACACAAGTATGCAGACCCAGGAACTCAGCACAGGGATGGTGGAAGCCCATCATCCTGGTTTCCAATTTGGTTTTGGCTGCCATCTGGGTCTCTGGAGGGGACATGAACCCTGCAACCAATACAGTTCTCATTTGCCCTTGTTTTCAACAAATTCTATGCTGAATATTTAGAGGCCTAAACAGTACAAGGCTTCCTTGTCTATCCATCCACCCATTACCTGGTCTGCAAGATCTAACTGCATGTCTTTAATTTCAGTTTTAGGAGAGCCAGTTTTATCCTGACTCTCCATAGGGTGACCTGTTCACTAATGTGCCAGAAGTGGCCCTTGTACCTTTCTTGCTGCCAGGCAGTGCAGGCCCAGGGATAGGAGTACCACCAACAGGACGAGTGTCTCCAAGTTTCGTCTGTCCCAGAGGGAATGGACAAGGGGTATACTGCCCACCTGCCAGTCATAGCACAGGGTGATGGGGGCCAGAAGCAGGCAGGCATTGAATGCCAGGAGGTAGGAGAAGGTCAGGAACCTGCAGAACAGAGAAAGCTCAATCAACATGGTGGAATACTGTAATTGAATGTCATATCACATTTGTTAAAAGGGTACTAACCCCATTGTCTTTCTTAAACTGTGTGTTGAACCCAGTGGCGTAACAATCGCCATACCGACCAAGGCGGCCGCTATGGGGCCCGGGCACAGGGGGGCCCGGCCAGGGCCGCCTGGGTCGCTATGGCATTTAAGGGTGCTGGCTGTCACTGACACAGCTCAGCAGCGGCCGCGGCGCATTTCCCCTCAAAGCCGATGCAGAGCTGTGTCATTGACAGCCAGCCGCTGCGGCAGATGAGAGGGGTGTTCGTAAAGAAGGAGGAGGCGGGGCCCACCTAAGAGCAACCCCGCCTCCTCTTACATCACTGGCCAGCGGCCTAAGAGCAGGTGGGGCCAGTGATGTAAGAGGAGGCGGGGCCCGGGGACGGAACAGGAGGCGGGGCCCTGGGACCACAGAGGCGGACAGTGCTGACAGGTAAGAGATCTCAGACCCTGCAAAGCCCACTATAGAGAGTATATGGTGGGCTCTGCAGGGTCACTCTCCTGTGGGCTCTGCAAGTGGCATAACTAGCAATCACGGGGCCCCATACAAAATTTTGCTATGGGGCCCTGTGATTTCTAGTTACGCCCCTGAGAGAACCTCAACTTACTTGGAGTATTGGAAACATTCTAATCACTGAATACATTGAAGTGCTTTTAATTATCAGTGGAGGCGTGTATCTTATCTTCTACCTCTCCGAGGTGGCAAAAAAGGGCACCTTTTAGCCCTCAGATTTGTGGGCAAATCCATCCCACACACCAGTCATACACCACATGCACTTTTACAAGTAGATACTGGTCAGCCCTCATTACTAAAGACTGGCAGCAAATTAAGACTGGCAGAATCATCTAATGTCTGTGACACTGACCAACGCCCAGAACCCTTCCCCTGACTAAATGACCCACCATCAAGGGGGCTGACATGGGATTTAAAAAAATATTGTAACTATATTATTTATATTGTGGTCTCTTTGCAGAGCTCATTCTTCCTTCTGAAGCAGGACTTTCTGAAAGGTTTAGACCCACATTTTGGGAGCTATGTTGCATTTGTTAAGTCTGTGACAGGTCCTCTTTGCCTTTATTCACACCCCAACATGGCCTAATTCCACTTTCCATTCTTAATGACTGTTAGAACAACCTGCTGAGACAGGACGGAGCTCCTATCCCACCGCAGGAGACAAATAAACATTGCGCTGGCCTTGGGCCACGGCTCTTCCACATACCTGGTGAGGATGTAAGGAGAGAAGGAAGCCGGATTGTCTTGCTCTGAGAACAATGGCATAGAGCCTCCCATGATATGAACGCGGAAAGCCAACACCACCATCACCTGTGAGAGAAAGAGGCTCTGATCAAATATCCTCTTCATAGGTGGCAGTCAGTGCGCTGAGCAGAGGCTGGGTGCAGCCAGCATATTTATCACTCTTATTGTACAGAGGTATACATACACATATATGACAGCAGTGTATAGCCAGTCAGAGGAGCCAAGTATTCATAACTATTTAATACTTCAGGGTAGAGAAGAGGGGGGGGGGGGGTAGAGAGAAAGTTAGAGGAAAGAAAGAGAGGGAGAGGGGGAGAGAAAGAGAAGAGGGAGAGACAGGAAAAAGAGGGGGATAAGAGAGAGGTACGCAAGGGGCGCAGAAAGAGGCATGGTACAAAAAGAAAAAAAAAGAGAGAGACGCGGGGGCAGAGAGAGCATAAAAACAGATAGGAAAGAAAGAAAGAAAGAAAAATAGAGGGAGAGAGAGAGAGATATAAAAAGACAGTGAGAGGAATAATGGAGAGGCAGAGATAGAGAAAGGGAGAGAGAGGAAAGGGAGAGAGAAATAAGAGATAGAAAGAGAAAATAAGATAAAAAGAGAGAGAGGGGGGGAAAGAGAAAGAAAGAAAGAGGGAGATAGGGGAAAGAGAGAGATAGGGATAGAAAGGTAGAAAAAGAGAGAGAGGAAAGCGAGAGAAGGCAGATTGAGAGGAAAATTAGAGAGAGAGACACGAGTGGCGCAAAAAAGGAGAAAGAGGCATGAAAGCATGGAAAGAGAGAGACAGAGACATGAGAAGAGAAAGAGAGAAAGAGAAGGAGGGAGAGACAGATAGGAAAGAAAGAAAGAAAGAAAAATAGAGGGAGAGAGAGAGAGATATAAAAAGACAGTGAGAGGAATAATGGAGAGGCAGAGATAGAGAAAGGGAGAGAGAGGAAAGGGAGAGAGAAATAAGAGATAGAAAGAGAAAATTAGATAAAAAGAGAGAGAGGGGGGGAAAGAGAAAGAAAGAAAGAGGGAGATAGGGGAAAGAGAGAGATAGGGATAGAAAGGTAGAAAAAGAGAGAGAGGAAAGCGAGAGAAGGCAGATTGAGAGGAAAATTAGAGAGAGAGACACGAGTGGCGCAAAAAAGGAGAAAGAGGCATGAAAGCATGGAAAGAGAGAGACAGAGACATGAGAAGAGAAAGAGAGAAAGAGAAGGAGGGAGAGAAAGAGAAGGACAGAGGCACATTGGGGAATTGGGGAGGAGGGGCATGAGAGACAAAGAATGCAGAGAGAGAGAAGGGGGAGATACCTAAAGGGGTTGGAGAAAAATGGGGGGGGGGGGGAAGGGGGGGGGGGAAAAGAAAAAAGGAAATAGAGAGGAAGAAATTGGAGGGGGTGGGGAGAAAAGAAGTTTCAGCCATGGGGGGCGGAGAGATAGACAGGGGAGAGGGAATAAAAAATGGACAAGTGAGACTGAGAAGACCTGGACCTTTTGATTTTAGCACCACTGCAACGTTTGCTGGGTAGCATTAGCAATGTACACATTGATTTGGCTTGTTTGAAGCTGCTCTTTAAAAATGAGTGTTACTTTATACATACACACAGATTGGGCTAGGATAGAATACTATCAGCACTCCAGGCATTCCTGGCAGCGCAGGAGTGGCCCCCCACGGGATACATCATCTAACTTGGCTCTGGCTATCAGGGGCCCCACCACTGCACGCTCAGGAGGAGGAGGCGGATTGGCTGAACACCGAGTGATATTCCACATTCCACTTACATGGCAGGAAACCAGCGCTGCTCTCCTCAGGAAGGGAACAGCCACAGCCCACAGATCCTTTATATGGCGCTCCAGAGACTGCAACCTAAAGGTCATAGAGAGGGAGAGGTGATATGGCAACCCTGTACACACTGACAGGCAAGGCACAGGGAGGACCTGTCACCTTTGAATGGAAATGTTCTTGTTAGTCAGCTGACTTGCCACTCTGCACAGCATGTGTCTTACAACTATGTATCCAAACAATCTGAAAGGACACTGTAATTGTTTCTGCTAAAAATTACAAGCACAGCTTAAAAGAAATTAACTTCTCTTATTTGCTCTCTTTTGGTCTTTTAAATATACCATTGAAAACATTTTGTTATATTTGTTTCATAAGTGCAAAAAAACCTGTTGATCCTGCCAGAAATCTAGCGAGCTAATAACTTTCTGTGCTCTCTGCCTGAGCTGCATTGTTATCAGCTACATTGTTTCCAATCCTCTCTGTGGACTAAAGAACCCCTCCCCTTGTGTTCTAGAGAAGAGAGGAGGGTGTCCTGTAGTCCTGCCCTATGGTGACAACATAGCTTCTCCGTAGATACAGTACAGTGAGTGAGTGTTGTCACCCTAGGACAGCAAGTTTGTTACTGGCATGGTCGCCACTTGTCAAATGCTGGCTGAGAGTGATATTTCCTACTGAGCAAGAGGTTGAAAATGATGAAGCTCAACAACGGTGCGGAAATAAACCCTGAACCAACCTTTTCAGCCTTCGCAGGCACAGGATCTGGAGGTCGTACACCAGGCAGACGCCGAACACTGTGATTCCTGTCTCTTTCACCAGCATGGCACAGGTACCCAGGAGCAGACTGAGAAGCAGGAGGAGAGGCGACCTCGTACCAGGAAAATGATCTGTGGCCGGATCCGTCTCAACACTCCTGGAACAACGAGACATACATGGCAGATGTATATAAGATTTTACAATCAAGACATTGATCCAGTGCAAGGGCCTGCAAGGACCTATCATCATTTTCAATGCATATTCTTACTGCGTATCATTGGCAACATGTAACAAGAGAACTGCCCTTCCCCTTACTCATTATTGGCTAATCTCTATGTCATTCACTCTTTAGCGGTTCACTCCAAGAATGCATCTGTGTTCTCCCTCTTATTTCCGTTTGCTTCTGTTACAATGTACCATTGGCAACATATAACCTGAGATACAAGCACTACCCTTCTCCTTACCCATTATTGGCTGATCTTTCCAATGTACCATTGGCCTCATGTGACCTGAGATAAGAGCAATACCTTTCCCCTTACCCATCACTGGCTGACCTTTACAATGTGCCATTGGCAGTATATAACCTGAGATACAACCACTACCCTTCTCCTTACCCATTATTGGCTGATCTTTCCAATGTACCATTGGCCTCATGTGACCTGAGATAAGAGCAATACCTTTCCCCTTACCCATCACTGGCTGACCTTTACAATGTGCCATTGGCAGTATATAACCTGAGATACAACCACTACCCTTCTCCTTACCCATTATTGGCTGATCTTTCCAATGTACCATTGGCCTCATGTGACCTGAGATAAGAGCAATACCTTTCCCCTTACCCATCACTGGCTGACCTTTACAATGTGCCATTGGCAGTATATAACCTGAGATACAACCACTACCCTTCTCCTTACCCATTATTGGCTGATCTTTCCAATGTACCATTGGCAACACATATATTGAAATAAGAGCAATACCCTTCTCCTTACCCATCACTGGCTGACCTTTCCAATGTACCATTGGCAACATATAACCTAAGATACAAGCACTACCCTTCTCCTTACCCATTATTGGCCGAGCTTTCCAATATACCATTGGCAACATATAACCTAAGTTACAAGCACTACTCTTCTCCTTACCCATTATTGGCCGACCTTTCCAGTGTACTATTGGCAACATATAACCTGAGATAAGAGCAATACCCTTCTCCTTACTCATTATTGGCCGACCTTTCCAATGTACCATTGGCAACATATAACCTGCGATAAGAGCAGTACCCTTCTCCTTACCTAATACTGGTTTACCTTTACGATGTACCATTGGCAACATATACATTGAAATAAGAGCAATACCCTTCTCCTTACCCCTCACTGGCTGACCTTTTCAATGTACCATTGGCAACGTATAACCTGAGATACAAGTATTACCCATCTCCTTACCTATTATTGGCTGATCTTTCCAACGTACCATTGCCAACACATAACCTGAGATAAGAGCACTACCCTTCTCCTTACCCATTATTGGCCGACCTTTCCAATGTACCATTGGCAATATAAAACCTGAGATAAGAACAGTACCCTTATCCTTACCCAATACTGGTTGACATTTACGATGTACCATTGGTAACATATAAATTGAAACAAGAGCAATACCCTTCTCTTTACCCATCAGTGTACCACTGGCAACATATAACCCAAGATTCAAGCACTACCCTTCTCCTTAACCATTATTGGGCGACCTCTATGTCATTAACTTTTTAGAAATTCAGTCCAAAAATAAATCTGTGTTCTCCCCCTCCTTCCCTTTAGCTTCTGGTACAATGTACCATATGCAACATGTGAATTGTCTTATAAAACTATACAATGATATACATAGAAGCCATACCTTACATATGAAAGGAACGCCAAGAGAAACAGCAAACAAGCCAAGACATCCGCTCTGCCCACAATGCCCGCTACCTGTGGGGTAACCAGGAAAAATGCTGATCAGAGGCATTAGTGAATTGAACCATTCTTTATTTTAACTCAGTGCCAGACCTGTAACCCAAGAGGAAAGCATTGTCCTCTGCACAATGGACTGGCTGCATTCCAAGTCACTCAGCTATCAGTGATGGGGATTTGATGTTGAGTTTTCCCTTGCATCTTCTACTTTTTTACAATAGTAAAGTGTTGGTTTCACCTACATTTTTGCTTTCCTACTATCTTGTTACAGCGTGTCATTGGCAACATGTAGCTTAAAGAGGAACTCCAGGATTTTCAAAAATTAACCCTTGCAGTGGAGCTACACCTGCACTGCAAGGGTTAAGTGCTTGTTTTGGTCTAGGTACACAAATAAAGAAAATATGCCTACCTGATCCTTGATCTCACCTGGCTGCTAGATTGGTCCCCTCTGCCTCTTCTTCCTCTTCCAGTCTAACCCCGCTAACGTCACTGCGTCTAATGCAGCCTATTCACTTGCATTAGTTGTGAGGCCACCTAGGGACATACCACAGCCAGAGCAGAGGGGAGAGAGGTAAGCGGTCCTCACCACGGGATCGAGGATTGGGTGAGTGTATTTTCTTTATTCCGTTCCCTAGACCAAATTAAGCAGTTAACCCTTGCAATGTAGGGGTAGCCCCACTGCAAGGGTTAACGTTTGAAAATCCTGGAGATCTGCTTTAAGACAAGAGCATCTCCCCCCTTCCCCTTGTCCTCACATATTATGGGTTAGCTGCTATGTCATCCGCTTGTTCTGAGTCCTGAAATTACCAGTGTCCTCCCTCTTCTTTCCTTGTGCTTCTGTTACAATGTATCATTGGCAATATGCAACCTGAGATAAGATCATTCCCTACTAAGACATTATTGGCTGACCACTGAGGCATTCACTTGTCAGGTACCGAGTCCTATGGCGAACCTGTGTCCTCCCTCTTCCTTCCTTATGCTTCTGTTACAATGTATCATTGGCAACATGTAACTTAAGACAAGAGTACAACCCTTATCCTCACACATGCTTGGCTGGATGTTGTGTCATTCACGTGTCGGGTTCCGAGTCCTACAATGGACCAGTGTCCTCCCTCTTCTTTCCTTGTGCTTCTGTTACAATGTATCATTGGCAACATGTAACTTAAGACAAGAGTACTACCCTTTTCCTCACACGTCATTGGCTGGCCTATGTGTCATTCACTTGTCACTAATCGAATCCTAGAATTGAGCTGTGCTCTCCCCTTTCTTCCCTTGTGCTCCTGTTACACTATATTGCTGGCGACATGTACCTGAGACAAGAGCACTCCCAATCACCTTCCACATTGATGGCCGTGCCTCTATATCATTTACTTGTTAGTGATTGAGCCCCAGAAATGAAGTGTGTCCTCCCTCTTCTTCTTCTCTTCTGTTTTACTATATTTAGTGCCAGGACAAGGTCATTTAGTGTCCAAGGTAAAAAGGCCAAAGTGTGCCCCTCTCATCAATTGTGTGTAATTTTAAAATCTATTTTTTTCAACAATGAATCCAGATCAAATATTCATTGCCCAGCAAAGTATGTAATTACATTTTTGCCCAATAATTTACAGTCATCATGTTTGTGAACAACTCTACCTCTCTCAGCTCTGCTTCCCTGAACTTCCTGTCCAGTACAAGATCACAAGGGACAGAGCAGTCTCAAACAGCTGTCCATCTACAGCTTGGGGAAGGGAAGAAGGAGGAGTGGAGAGCAGGAAAGTGGTTTGCCTTGCTGTGCCTGTTTATTTGTGGAGACACACACAGCTTACCAGCACACAAAAGGGTAGCTCCATAGGACCCAGCAAGGGAAAGGAGGCTAAAGGAGGAGGAGCTAAAACAGGATATCAGGACCAGTGCTCAAGAAACTAGCTGATTCTGCTTGAAACTAGCAACATCCATGATAAGCGAGCATTTGAAATAGCACACAAACTTAAGTAACAATCTAGGCTGCATATGTTGCAGGTTCTGGCCTCTTTGTGCCCCCCTCCTGTTGCAGCGCCCATGATGGCTGTCAGGGGCTGTCAAATAACATACAATATCTATAAAAATGACTCTTACAGCTTCGGTGTGAACTGGGTGCACAGCAAAAAGGAGTGCGGTGCCCAATGCCGGTCTGCGGCCCTCAAATACGGTCCTACTGCATACGTAACAGAGCAATGAGCTGACCAGGCAGTGTAACACGACATTCACCATGTGGAAATAAAAGGGATCCAGACCCCACCAATACACATTCATCCTGCAACAGGAGAGAAGAAAAAAAATGTTAAAGGATATCTAAACCCAAGAACAAAAATATCATCTGTTACAATTTGCCGGTCCTTAGATGTAGAGGCTGCATTTGCTTTCTTTCTTTTCTGCAAGTATAAAAAATACCTGTTGATCCTGCCAGACTTAAGCAATGTTATCAGCCTTTCCAGCTATTTTCCATGAACTACTGAAGAGGAAAAAAGAGGGAGGCGTATAAAGTCCAAATCAGGAGTGAGCGACCTAGGGTGACAACTCTGCTTCTCCATAGATACAGCATGGCGAGTGAGCGTTGTCATCCTAGGACAGGAAGTGTGTTACTGGCAGGATCACCAGGTGGAAAAAAAGCCAGAAACAACTAAATTAATGCAACCACTAAGGAACAGTGTTGCTAGTGTCAGTTCCTGTTCCCCGCTTAGACAGTTGTCCCCGGAACAGGTGTCTCTATTGGAGGATTTCCCCTCCCCTCTTGTTCTGGTGACAACTCTACCCGTTTGGATTTCCCATCACTCTGTGTCTTGGTAACAATGATTTTAATTTTAACATACTCACTGGCCACTTTATTAGGTACACTTTGCTAGTACTGGGTTTTATCTTCAGAACGGTTTTAATTCTTCGTGGCATTGATTCAACAAGGTGATGGAAACATTCCTCAGAGAGTTTGGTCCATACCAACATGATAGCATCACACAGTTGCTGCAGATTTGTCGGCTGCACATCCATGATGCGAAGCTCCACCGGCCTGAATCGTTGATACAAGTGAGGATGGATCCATGCTTTCATGTTTTTTACATCAAATTCTGACCCGACCATCCGAACGTCGCAACAGAAATCGAGACTCATCAGACCAGGCAACGTTTTTCCAATCTTCTATTGTCCAATTTTGGTGAGCCCTTGCAAACTGTAGCCTCAGTTTCTTGTTCTTAGCTGAAAGAAGTGGCAGTCGGTGTGGTCTTCCTGGCTGTAGCCCATCTGCTTAAGGTTCAATGTGTTGTGTGTTCAGAGATGCTCTTCTGCATACCTCGGATGTAACGATGTAACGTATTTGAGTTACTGTTGACTTTATATCAGCTTGAACCAGTCTGGCCATTCTTCTCTGACCTCTGGCATCAACAAGGTATTCTTGCCCAGAGAGCTGCCGCTCACTGGATATTTTCTCTATTTCAGACCATTCTCTGTAAACCCGAGAGATGGTTGTGTATGAAAATTCCAGTTGCTGAAATACTCAAACCAGCCCGCCTGGCACCAACAACCCTGCCACGTTCAAAGTCACTTAAATCACCTTTCTTCCCCATTCTGATGTTCGGTTTGAACTTCAGCAGACCATCCTGACCATGTCTACATGCCTAAATGTGATTGGCTGATTAGATGTTTGTGTTACCGAGCAGTTGAAGAGGTGTACCTAATAAAGCGGCCAGTGAGTGTACAGTATATTAATAAGACTATTTAGACAAGTCTGACAATTTTACATAAAAAATATATATACATTTACACGTATAAAAGGCTACTTAAAGTGGAACTCCAGAATTTATTCACAGAGCCAGATAAGATTAGAAACTCTGTCAGGATTTACTGCTGTCTGTATCCCCCGCTGGGAAGATTTCACTTCATTTTCTGCGTGGTCACTGAGACATGAAGTGTGGCAACCCCCCAAAGCGCACACAAAAATCTTACATAAGTACTAACAGAATTCTGTCTAAAAAGAAACAAAAAGGTTTGTGTGACAGTTCAACTGATATTGTTGGAGGGGAAGTCAGGTAGTTACAGACAATAATGATCTTGGTTTGGTCGGTGAATTATAGTTCAAATGACTGAGCGCTGTCTACACATTCGCGCAGGGAAGAGGAACACTTTGTGCACCAGACTCTAGCAGGAGAGATCAATAACCAGAGCTTTCCTTCGGGAAGAGCTGATTGGCCAGAAGGGATTAATGGCAACCAATAACTTTCCTCCAGAGAAAGTTCAATTCATACATTCAAATATTGTATCCGTACAAGGATCCCCTCGGCCATCTAACCGTAAACGGGGAGCTTTCTCTTACGCGTAAGCAACTTTAGGTTTATCCATCCTGCGAACCAAACTCATAATCCCGCTGTATCAAATGCATTCGTCATAAAAGTCTTTTTTATATTTATATTTAAGAAATACACAAGTGCCACAATGTTTTAGGATTTCCCCCAAACTGTGAAGGAAAACAAACACGGCCGGTCTCAGCGTTCCCACTGAAACCAAATTCCACAGAGGGGATCACATTACATAACTCGCAGCTCACAACCGCGGCAGGCCGGAGGCGCAGCCTTTGATAATGTTTACATTTTCAGTGTGGTTTAGTTCTAATTTAGGCCTGAAAGAGCGCATTGTGATCGCCCCACAGATGTCTGTGCTATTTGTAGCTAAACCAGCAATTAGCGTCTTCAAAGCGTCCCGTTTCATTTGACGCTTGACGTGTGAAATAGCGCAGCCACGCCATTGTGTTAAACACTCGATAAGTTCATATTTAAAGGGAAAGTGTAGTGTGTGTTCACTAAACACATATTTTAAGTGATTGCAATGTCTACTTTTAGGGCTGTCCATAAGGGTGTTGTTGCGGGTGCAATGTCGTTTCGGGTCGGGGGTTGGGAAGGGTTGGTACTGGCAGCGAATGGTCACTGGGTCACTTGTGTTTTGGGGTGGGGGGGTGGGGTCACTGTCAGTGGCTTTGTCCGGCGTCAACCCTGACATCACCCAGCTCGGCGAGGTGCATGTCAGAGCGTCCCACTCAGGACCTGGCAACTGGTGACATCAGTGAGCTGGGCGGGAAGAGCTCTGTGTCCAGTCCAGTGATGCTGTGTGTGCAGCACAGAATCATTGGTTGCTAGGATGCAGTCGGCCATACCTTAACAACCATGATGCTTTGAGGGCCCCCTGGGTCCTAGCAACCAGTGATGCTTTATGGCCTGCACACTGTCCTTGGTTGCTAAGATACTAGTGGCCCAACAGCATAATAGGCTGTTATGGTGCACGGTGCACGGTGCACCGGCCTGTGTCAAAGCAATTCAAACCCAGGGTTTGTCTGTGTTCTAGCAACCAATGACGCTCTGTGCGCCACACAGCATCATTGGTTGCTAGGATGCAGTCAGACGCACCTTGACAACCATAACAGTTTTTAGCCCCCTGCATTCTAGCAACCAATGATGCAAAGTGCCATTGGTTGTTAAGATGCTGGTGGCCCCACACTGCGTCATAGGTTGTTATGATGCACCAGCTTGCATCCTAGCAACCAATGATTCAGTGGAGTCCAGCCACTAGCGTCCTAGCAACCAATGATTCTATGTGGTCCAGCCACAAGCGTTCTAGCAACCAATGGTATACACAGAGTCATTAGTTGCAAGGGCACAGATGGAGGTTTGTCATGGGGGCAAGCTGACCAAACTGGTCACCCTGTGGTCAAACTGCAATTCGAGTTCGACCCCAACCCGAAGCTCATCCGTGATAAATATATGCTGCTAAAGACAGATAAATAAAGTGTAACTAAACCCAGACAATGAACTTCTCTCATTTGCTCCCTTCTGATCTGTTAAATAAACCCCTGAAAGTGTTTTGTTATATCTGTTGGGTGAGTGCAGAAAATTACCTATTGATCCTGCCAGAAATCTAGTGAGCTGATAGCTTGCCTGTGCTTCACTCTTATCAGCTATATTGTTACCAGCTATCTCTGTAAACTAATCCCCCCCCCCCATTTTACAAAAAAGAGGATAGGGGGAGGTGTTCTGTATTCCTGCCCTAAGGTGACAACGCTGCCCCTCTATACAGTACAGTGAGTAAGTGTTGTCCCCCTAGTAAAGGAAGTGTGTCAATGGCAGGATCACTAAGTGAAAAGGAGAAAACTAATGGAGCCACTACAACTAAGAGGTTGATGAGATTAAAAGTCAGAATTCTGATTTTCAAACACAAAATTCTGACTTTCAAACACAGAATTCAGACTTTAGAAGTCAGAATTTTGTTTAACATTTTTTTAGCATGGCCCCAGGGCTCTTCCATAGTATAAGTATAAGGAGGAATTCCCCCTCTCATTGGGAATTCGGTTCCAGTGAGAACGGTCACCACAAATGTAACCGGAGAGAGTATTTCAGAAGAAAAGCCTGAGTGTTACCCTTAGCAGGCTGAGAGCAAGGGGGGGGGGGGGGCATTGTTTATACTGAGCCCAACATCTGAAACTGTTTTACTCTGCGGCCCGAGGCGTGCTATCGGCTAATACCCGTGTGATTCTTGTGTATAGACGTCCCGGGCCTTCACTGGCCAACCGCACGCTTGTCACTGCGCACATTTCTGAAATGTCTCCGCAAATAACTTTCCTCATTTATTTATTATTTTTCTTTCTTTCTTCATTTTCCTGATTCCTCGTCCTATCAGATTCTTCTGTGCCCAGGAACTGTTTGAAAAATGTGCTGACTGCTGTGGCAGATCTGTACTCAGAAGATCCAATGTGTGCAGAACCAAATGTCTGCCAGCGTCCCCCCAAATTGTTATGTACAATGCAGCTCACAGCAGTCTCAAGAGAGAGGTATGCAGAGAAATGTTTTGTTTAGCTCCAGTGATAAATGTATCATTATGAATATACAGTATGAGGAAAGATAGACACAGCGTCACGTCCCTGTTATTGATCTCTTTGATTACCTTCTACTGCTCAGCAACACCATGTCCCTATCACCAGATACACTGATCATTTCCTATACATATGGGCCAACCACTGCTCAGCAACACCATGTCCGTGTCACTGCTGTCTCTGATCTCCTACTATAGATATGTAACATTTACTGCTCAGCAATAGAATGTCCCTGTCAGTGCTGTCCCTGATATGCAGCACAGTGTTCTTGTCAATGCCATCCTTAATTTCTATGTATTCATATGGGCCATCCACTGCTCAGCACCACAATGTCCCTGTCACTGCTGTCTCTGATCTCTTCCTGAAGATATGTTCCCTCTACTACTCAGAAGCACAATGTCTCTGTCACTTCTATCCCCGATCCCTCCCTATAAATAATTCTGACATCCATGGCACAGCAACAGCATGTCCCTGAAACTAAACTCTATGATCATTTTCTATAAGTATGTGCCATCCAGTTCTCAGCCACACAATGTCCCTGTCACTGCTATCACTGATCCCCTTTTATAGATATGCAAAGTCCACTACTCAGCAATAGAATGTCCCGGATAAGCAGCACAGTGTTCTTCTCGTCACTGCCACCCCTCATTTCTGTTTATACATATGGGCCACCTACTGCTCAGCAACATAATGTCCCTGACACTGCTGTCCCTGCTCCCTTCTAATACATAAGAAGCACCTACTACTCCCTAACACAATGTCCATGACACTGCTGTCTCTGACCCCTTACTAATACATATGCAACACCTACTGTTCAGTAACATTATGTCCCTGACACTGCTGTCTCTGACCCCTTCTAATAAATAAGAAACACCTACTGTTCAGTAACATGATGTCCCTGACACTGCTGTCTCTGACCCCTTCTAATAAATAAGAAGCACCTACTGCTCAGTAACATGATCACTTCTCGTACATATGAAGCTCAGTAACATAATGTCCCTGACACTGCTGTCTCTGACCCCTTACTAATACATACAAAACACCTACTACTCACTAGAAGCATCTCAAGCTGATGTCATCGACACAAGCACAAAGCTCATCTACACTGGTCCTACCCCAGCTCCTAACTGCTACATATAATACATTTTAGAAATCTTGGAATATACAACTGTAAGTCCCAGCATGTCTCCATTCCCATCCAGCACCAGGGACATGCTGGGATTCCCCAACAGATAGATGGCTGAAGGATGCTTAGACCTGGAACATAAAGCCCCTACTGAGTACCTGAAGCTCAGCACGCACAGCGGGCGATATGACTTGTGACTCGTGTTGTCATTCATGGCTTTGCCCCAAAAGTCATTCCTGAAGACCCTGCTGAGGTTGGTCTCCGCTCGGCTGTCCGGGTTATTGAGGATGGCCCAGATGTCGTCGTGGACAAACTCCCCAAAAAGAGATCCGGCAAAGCACAGACCTGCCGCCAAGGCCGGAAGGGCAAACGTCCATGCGCCGAGATCGACCACTTTGGGAAATGGGGAATTTCTGGGTCTTCTGAGTCCTGCTTTATGACCGTCATCCCAAATCCCACCTGCACAATGACTCTTTCCCACCCCATTGGATGTGTTCCTGGGGCTTTCTCTTTGGACACTCATCATCCCACTGTTGGAATGGCCTTTCTGGATGAAGGTTGGGACACTTTGTCCATTCTTGGTGCACAGGTCTGTGGGTGAGTTCTGCAGGTTCCTGGACCCCTTATGACTTCTGGGGTTATTTGCTACCTGTTTGATGTCACTCTGGTTCCCACCATTAGCCATACTCGCCCTTTGTGCCAACTGCTCCACATCGTTAGAGGTATCCGGAGGTACCTTGTTGTCAATGACCTGCCAGCCACTTCTCATACTCATGCCTCACATCTTGTTTGGAACACGTCTCTTTGCATAGCGCATGCTTACTGCTCCACCCTAAACAATACGTCCCAAAATCTTCTCGGCTTCAGGGTTAGCTGTTTCTGAATCCTGTCCATTTTATCCATCCACTAGGCCGGCAGGCTGAGGACTCTGCAAAAAAAGAAGAGATTGTCTCATTACCTAGTCAGTAGATCCCCCTGTCCACTCTCTCAATGGACTTCCTATATATTTGTGGCTGTCTCTGCCCCAGCCTGGCACTGCAGCTGCCTTCTGTACTGAAGCTGTCTATAGTAAAAGCTCCTTACTGAAAAGAGATCTGTCTCGTTATCCGTATCTCATCCTGCCATCTCTTCAGCAGTCACGCTTTTCTGTTCTGCCTGTCTCTTTACGTAGCAGAAGTCATGCAGTTCTAATTGTCACACTGATCAGCCGTCTCCTGTACTGAAGCTGTCTATAGTAAAAGTTCCTTACTGAAAAGAGATCTGTCTCGTTATCCGTATCTCTTCCTGCCATCTCTTCAGCAGTCACACTTTTCTGTTCTGCCTGTCTCTTTATGTAGCAGAAGTCATGCAGTTCTAACTGTCACACTGATCAGCCGTCTCCTGTACTGAAGCTGTCTATAGTAAAAGTTCCTTACTGAAAAGAGATCTGTCTCGTTATCCGTATCTCTTCCTGCCATCTCTTAGGCCGTCATGCTTTTCTGATCTGCCTGTCTCTTTAGTAGCAGAAGTCATGCAGTTCTAACTGTCACACTGATCAACCGTCTCCTGTGCTGAAGCTGTCTAACCTAATTACTAAGATATCTGTCTCTTCTGGAGATCAGCTGTCCCTCTATGTTAGGTGTGCTGTCTCTTGTTCCTGAGCTGGAAAGTCTACAGGATGTTACTGCTGAGATCTCTCTCTTATTATCACCGGTCAGATGACACTTCAGCAGTCTCTCCTTCAGGTATCTGATTGTCTCAGCTCTCTCAATTGGCAGTCTCCATGTGAATATAGAACACTTACCCAGACCCTCCTCAGGTTGTCTTTGGATGTTTATCTGTCATGTCTGTCTACTCTACCTACCTGCTTGAGCAGTCTCTCCGTGGTGTCTTCTCCCAGTAGTCTTTCCTCTCTCTAACACTCTGTCCAATCCCTCCTCCCTGCTATCTCTGTATTATTACTCCACCTTACATAATATTCCCACTGATGTCACCAACTCCACCTCTCTGACAAGTGACTTTCCTTAGTACTTCTATCTTTCCAGCACCCTCCTGCACACTCCATGCAGTCCCTTATGTCAGCTGTGTAAGTGCAGTTCACAGCGCATATGAAGGTGATCGCAGTGCACAGCTGTCATGATGTACAGGAAGGCTTCACATTCGCAGTGTGTTCTCCGGCTGTCATTTGTCAGGTTGTCTCTTGCTGTGTGCAGTGCGGTCTCAGCTGTAATTTGTCAGGTTGTGATTCGCAGTGTGCAGTGCGGTCTCCGGTTGTCGGCTCTGTCAGTGTGCAGGCGGTCTCAGCTGTCATTTGTCAGGTTGTCTCTCGCAGTGTGCAGTGCAGTCACAGCTGTCAGATCTCCCGTTGTCTCTCGCAGTGTGCAGTGCGGTCTGTGGTTATCGGCTCTCGCAGTGTGCAGTGCGAGCTCCGGCTGTCAGATCTCCGGTTGTCTCTCGCAGTGTGCAGTGCGGTCCCAGCTGTCAGATCTCCCGTTGTCTCTCGCAGTGTGCAGTGCGGTCTGTGGTTATCGGCTCTCGCAGTGTGCAGTGCGGTCTCCGGCTGTCGTCTATCGCAGTGTGCAGTGCGGTCTCCGGCTGTCGGCTCTCGCAGTGTGCAGTGCGGTCTCCGGCTGTCGGCTCTCGCAGTGTGCAGTGCGGTCTCTCTGATGCTGTCTCTCTGCAGGCCGCAAAGTGTGGGAGAGTCTCGGCAGTGCGGTCTCATACCTTGGAACAGTCCCCAGTATTTCAGCAGTCTCTCGGGGGGAATCTGACAGTCTGTACGCAGTCTCCGATGCTGGCTGTCTCTGCAGTCTCTCTGACTCCGCACAGCCGAGAATAAACATCAGCAGCCGCCTCCTCCCCGCGCATCCTCAGTGCTTTCCATCCATCCCTCCATCATACCCTTCCTTCTCTGCTTCCCCCACACCTCTATCCTTCCATCTATAATCTATGTATTCCTACATCCGTATATCCATCCATCCATCCCTCCATCATCATACCCTTCCTTCTCTACCCATACCTCTATCCTTCCATCTATAATATATGTATTCCTACATCCGTATATCCATCCATCCATCCATCCCTCCATCGTACCCTTCCTTCTCTACTTACCCACACCTCTATCCTTCCATCTATATAAGTATTCCTTTATCCGTATATCCATCCATCCCTCCATCATACCCTTCCTTCTCTACTTCCCCACACCTCTATCCTTCCATCTATAATCTATGTATTCCTACATCCCTATATCCATCCATCCCTCCATCATACCCATCCTTCCATCTATAATCTATGTATTCCTATATCCATCCATCCATCCCTCCATCATACCCTTCCTTATCTACTTCCCCATACCTTTATCCTTCCATCTATAATCAATGTATTCCTTCATCCGTACATCCATCCATCCCTCAATCATACCCTTCCTTCACTACTTCCCCATACTTTTATCTTTCTTTCTATAATTTATGTATTCCTACAGCCCTATGTCCATCTATCCCTCCATCTACTCATCCCTCCATCTACTCATCCCTCCATCTACTCATCCCTCTTTTCTTCCCCATACCTCTATCCTATATCCCTCCACCTATAATCTATGTATTCCTCTATCTATCCATCCCTCTATCTATCCATCCTTCTCTACAAACCCATAGCTTTATCCTTCCATCTATAATCCTCCTACATCCGTATATCCATCCCTCCATCATACCCTTGCTTTTCTACTTCCCCATACCTTTTTCTTTATCCCTATATCCTTCCATCTATAATCTATGTATTCCTATATCCCTATATCCATCCATCCATCCCTCCATCATACCCTTCCTTCTCTACTTCCCCATACCTTTTTCTTTATCCCTATATCCACCCCAAACTCCATCTATCCCTATATCCATTCCTCAGTTATACATCCATTCTTCTATGTATGCTTCTCTGTCTACTTCTCCATTAATCCCTCCATCCATCTACACATCAATTTCTCTCTATCCATTAATCTATAGCCCTCTTTATCCCCTTCTCCATCCATCCCTCCATCTAACCCTCCACTCTTTATGTCCTTCTCTATGTTTCTATGCCTCTATTTATCACATTCTATCCCTTCCCCATTCATCCTCCATCCTTTTCTATCCATATATCCCTATTGTTATCTATCTAACCACATCCATCCCTCGCCCATACAACCATCAATGTGTGATAAAGAATGTTGCATTGAATTTGTTACCTCAGCGCATTAAGGTGTGAATAGGCCCTTACTATAAATAGCACTAAAGTGCACAACTTTTTTAGCATGTCCATGGGCCAGCCTAAGGTCTGGAGCCCTGGGCAGCCACCTATTCTGCCATTATAAAAATCTGCCTCTTCCCATGAGAGTACCAAGGACCTCCCATCATTCACCTGGCTTATCTCAGCAGCCTCATGAGTGGGACTCTGGGACAGTCCAGCTGGCACTGTCACATATATTACTTATGTAGTATTAATCGGGAGACTGGCTAAGTCCTTTGTTACTTGTAGTACTTTGATGTAACAGGTGTGGAAGCTCTGCTTTACATGTCCATGTCAATTTCCCTTCATCCTCCCATAGCAGTTCCACCTGAACGGATTGTAACAGCTCTGTTGTTCTTTTTTTGTTTCCTTTGTTTGTAACTATGTTGTCGTGTTTGCTTCATTTGTCTACAACATAGACAATTATAAATCTATTTTGTTTTATATATTTATGTTTTGGGACCTGTTAAATTTTTACAGCATAAACATTAGCAGAATGTCACGATCACTACCCATCATGCCTCCTGGTAGGTTTGGCTACTGTCATCGGCTATGTTCACAAAAGGCCCCTGATCTGGAAAATCCATTGAGCAGGAAAATCTAGCGAATGGCAGAAGTCAGCGCGGCGTGTGCATGTTCATTGCTGGTGGTCGCCACGGTTATTTTGTTTAGAGAAACAGCCAAATATTTGGAAAGTGCTGTCACATCAATATCTGCAGACCATTTGAAACATTTCAGCACAGTTCAGTGTTTACTAATTATTTCACGACAGATCTTTGTGTCATAGTTACCTTTCAACTTAGATATGAATATATTAAAATTTTGCTAAAGGGTCAGTGTACCTAGGTTATAAAATATATAAAGACCTGTGAGGGTGTCAGTCTACCCGCAAGTGATATTTCAGTGGTTGTTGAGAGAGTTAAACCGTCTAACATTGTCTTGGATCTTGTGGGGACTCTATTTGTGAGATCTCCGCACTAAGTTCCCAGGTCTGCACATCTGCTCATCTGCTGTGCCCATTATGAGGGGCTCCCACCATCCCTGTGCTAAATTCCCACTTCTACGCAGTTGTTGTGTCCATTATAAGTGGCTCCCACAATCCCTGTGCTCGGTTCCCGGGTCTGTACACCTGTTGTGCCCATTATGAGGGGCTCCCACCATCCCTGTGCTCAGTTCCCGAGTTTGTACACCTGCTGTGCCCATTATGAGGGGCTCCTAACATCCCTGTGCTGAGATCCTGGGTCTACACACCTGTTGTGCCCATTATGAGGGGCTCCCACCATCCCTGTGCTGAGTTCCCAGGTCTGCACACCTGCTGTGCACATTGTGAGGGGTTCCCACCATCCCTGTGCTGAGTTCCCAGGTCTGTACACCTGCTGTGCTCATTATGAGGGACTCCCATCATCCTTGTGCGGAGTTCCCGGGTCTACACCCCTGTTGAGCCCATTATGAGGGTCTCCACCATCCCTGTGCTGAGTTCCTGGGTCTGCACATCGTTTAACCATTTAGAGGGGCTCCTGAGATTCCTGAGCTGAG